ATTTAATAAGACAAACACATTCATTAAACTTGTTTTTCAAAAACGAAGATCATAGAATTGAAATGCAAAAACACAGTTTCTCTTTCAAAATTATTAAAATTGGCTATACCGCTGAGCAAGTGCATAGTAGGTATATCCCTATCAAGTACAAACACACTATAACTACCTTGTTCAAAGCATAGAAGTCTTTTCCTAATATCAAAGTAAACGTAAACTAACAGGAGAGAATCGCTCCAAACTCTGCAATCGAAAATTCTTATGACTTGTCAATCTTCTCGTTTGTTGAAGGACTCCTTCGATGAGCCGAACATCCTCAGCAGACTGTCCCGCCTCCTTGCATAGCTTCTATTCGCATTTTTCTCTTATGTTTTCTTTCGCGGATTGTGCTCTAGAGCAGGGTATGCTGAGTTCCGTAAATCTACAAAATTCTAGTTTATCCATTCATCAACGCTTAGTCAAGTAGCAAAATGCCGCGGTGCGTCTTGAGTTTTGACAATCTTGCCGTTGGCTATCTAGCTGTCCGGTCACATTTTCACATTATATACATTCGTTTGTGATTTTCTTCTGATTTCCTGTAAATTTTTCGAACTTTAGTTGCAGTTAAATATTAATATATATCATGTTCTGCGTTATGATCTCGAGTTCTCATTGCCCCTGTTCCTTAACAGCTCGTGGAAGCTTTCCTTGTTCACATCGCATCACTGATCAAAACGCTCAAGTTTGATGTCTTCAGTTTGAACAGTCTGTTCCTTCTTTCCTTATTCTTTCTTAGATGGGATACAACAAGGTAGGCTCGAGTAAATTGATGTAATCCGTGTAAATCTTTCGATTGCCTCATCTTGAGGCCATCTCTCAACGCAAAGACTCGATGATCAACTTTCGTGATTTCAGCATTGTGCATGCGTTGAGATGAGAAAGTTGCTGCTTTGAGTTATCGTAGGAGTTTGTTTCTTCGAAATTCGTATTTGTATTGTATGAGTGGGTGGTTGTGCTGACTGTTCTTTTCCTCTCTAAATCTTCCGATATCTCTTTTACGAGAGAACAATCCCTTATCTCACTCACCGTGTACAGATTCTTGCCCTAGCTTTATCCTTGTTCTCTTTGCCGTCATCTTCTTCTTGCAATTCAAACAAATCCTCAGCCAGTCATCTTCAGACTGTCTTTTGGCCTTCTCCAATATCTCTCACACACGCTCTCGTTCTCTCGCAATGTCATTTATTAAAAATGAAGAAGCAACTTTCTCTCATCCATTGTGACAGATTTTCTTGAAGCTTCATCTCAGCACTCTCACCTTTCTATTTTACTCATTTAACACACAAATAGACAAGAAACATGGACACACTTGTGATCACTTGAAGACAAAAGGGATTGAACTTCAAAATTCTTGAATCAAAATTTTCAAATTAATATGCTAAACAAACATGAAACTCTTCAATTTTCCCTCATTTTAATTTTCATTGACTCATAAAGCCGTGCTTATATCTCAATTGCTTACTTACCATCTTTTATCATTTATCATTTGTATTGTTATTTTGAGAGCGCGACTCGAACTTAGAACCTTGCAATGGAACAGGATCCAGGCTGGCAATTTTTACGCCAGTCCAAGGAACAAGTAACACATACAGTTCATACTCTTCTTACTGATTTTCTTATGTTAAGATTCTTGCTAACACCACCAAGAAATTTGATTCAAAGAAGAATGTCTGGATTGCTGATCCTGAGGATGGTAATTAATGAATCGAACTCGATTGTTTTTCATCTAAGCTGATTTCTAGGATTCGTAGCTGCCGAAATCAAGTCGTCAAAAGGCGACGCCACTACTGTTGTCACAAGCAAGGGACAAGAGGTTAGATCAGCTACGTTAATAAGAATACTAACACGTAACGTATTTTTAAGAAAACAGTAAAAAAAGATGAAGTTCAACAAATGAATCCTCCGAAATTCGAAAAAACCGAAGACATGGCCAATTTGACCTTCTTGAACGATGCTTCTGTTCTTCATAATCTTCGTCAAAGATATGACGCTATGATGATCTATGTGAGTTGAAGATAAATAGAAACAAAGCAACAAAACACCATGTTAAGACATATTCTGGTCTTTTCTGTGTTGTCATCAATCCATACAAACGCCTCCCCATCTACTCGGAGACTGTTTGTAAAATGTACATGGGAAAGAGAAGAAATGAGATGCCACCTCACTTATTTGCCGTTTCTGATGAAGCCTATAGAAATATGACTAATGGTAAAATAGAAAAAAATATTCTGAAGTGTTATATGCACCATCTTCATTCTAGATCGTGAAAACCAATCTATGCTTATCACCGGAGAATCTGGTGCTGGTAAAACCGAAAACACGAAAAAAGTCATTTCCTATTTCGCTAGTGTCGGATCGACTCAGTAAAAAAGCTGTTACCGGGAACTTATTTCATGTTTGCTCTATTTTCAGACAAAATAAGAAGAAAGGCACTGTCTCGCTAGAAGATCAGATTGTCCAAACTAATCCCGTACTTGAAGCTTTCGGTAAATTCTTTGAAACACTTGAACAAGCAATTTGTCAATAAACAGGAAACGCTAAAACTGTCCGAAACAACAACTCTTCTCGTTTTGGTAAATTCATTCGAATCCATTTCAATCATGCTGGTAGAGTAGCTGGAGCTGATATTGAGCATTGTATGTTACAGCATTAGTTTTACACGAAATGGGAAAAATGTTCAGATTTGCTCGAAAAGTCTCGTGTCATCAAACAAGCTCCTGGAGAACGTTGCTATCACATTTTCTATCAACTTTACTCTGGAGCTATAACAGGGCTTAAAGGTTTCTCCTTGTTTTCGAAAGTTCAAAACAACATGCATTTGAAGAACGTCTTCTGTTGGATCGTCCCATCAAAGACTACAAGTTTGTTGCTCAAGCCGAAGTTACCATTGACGGAGTTGATGATAAAGAGGAAATGCTTCTGACTGAGGTATAACATTAGGTGGCCATAGTTGTTATTCATATCCTCTTCAGGAAGCTTTTAATATCATGAAATTCGCTCAAAGAGAAAAGGATGAACTATTCGCCATCACTGCTGGTAAGTTCAATTGATTTTGATTTTGCTCTTCTGTCTATATTCGTAAATCAGCTCACTATATTTCAATATTCCAGCTTTGATGCACATGGGAGAATGTACATTCAAGCAACGCCCTCGTGAAGAGCAAGCTGAGTTGGATAATGGAAAAGGTTGACAGCAAGTTAGCAAGAAATAACTTTCTTCATTCATTTTTCAGAAGGAGAAATCGCTTGTAAACTTTTCCAAGTTGATTATGAGAAGTTTATTCAAGCTTTATTGAAGCCACGAGTTAAAGTGGGAACAGAATGGGTAAACAAAGGTCAAAACTTGGATCAAGTAAATTGGGCTGTTGGAGCTCTTGCTAAAGCCTTATATGCACGTATGTTCTCATGGCTTATCAAGAGGTTCGTTAGAAAGGAAGCAAGCTAACATAAATAAGCTAAAACAGAGATGTTCTAGAATTATAATAATATGTATGTTTCAGATGTAATAAAACACTTGATGCCCAAGATCTCTCTCGTGATTGTTTTATCGGAGTTCTTGACATTGCTGGTTTCGAAATTTTCGACGTAAACAGCAAAGAAGAAAAAATGTATTTTTATTTTAAATTTTGCAGTTAAATTCGTTCGAACAATTGTGGATCAATTTTGTAAATGAGCGTCTGCAACAATTCTTCAATCATCATATGTTTGTATTGGAACAAGAGGTTGCAATCTATCCGTTTAGCTTTTTTCATTTTTTTTTCATCTTAGGAGTATAAACGTGAAGGAATCAAATGGGAATTCATTGATTTCGGTCTTGATCTTCAAGCTTGTATTGAATTGATTGAAAAGGTTTTGAAAAAACTATATGTTAGATGTTATCAGTAACCATTATAGCCTTTGGGAATTATTTCGATGCTTGATGAAGAATGCATCGTTCCTAAAGCTTCTGATATGACATTAGCTCAGAAGCTTAATGATCAACATCTTGGAAAACATCCAAATTTCCAGAAGCCAAAACCACCAAAGGGTAAACAAGTGAGTGTGAAAGTGCAACTTGATGTTCGACATTCGTTTGTTTAGGCCGAAGCTCATCTGGCTATTGTACATTACGCTGGAACTGTACGTTACAACGTGAAGTCATGGCTTGAGAAGAACAAGGTTTGTTGACGATTTGCGATGAATGTCACAAAACATTCTGCAACGATTAATTATAAACAATAGACACAACCGTTCAACTCGCTAACAACATTAGAAAATGAAATGAGATTCACGTGGAGAGTTACGTGAGCAGCAGACAACTCAATATTTGCATAATAGACACGTGTCAATTATTTTTGCAAACAAATATTACGCAGCAATATTTGTTCTTTTTTATTCTATTTTTTATAAAATCTTATAATATTAAGGATCCTCTGAACGATACTGCCGTCACTGTGCTTAAGGCTAATGCCGGCAACGAGCTTATGTCGGAACTTTGGGCCGACTATAATACCCAGGAAGATATTGCCAACATGGGCAAGAAAGCAGTTACTGTTAGCAAGAAGAAGGTATGCTAATCACAAAAAAAGCAGTAACAGTTCATACTTGCAACTATAGGGTAAATCTGCCAGCTTCATGACTGTTTCTATGATGTACCGTGAGTCTTTGAACAAACTGATGCAGATGCTTCATCAAACTCACCCTCATTTCATTCGTTGCATCATTCCCAATGAACAAAAAAGAAGTGGTACGTGCCATATATTACGCGGCAGACCTTAATCTATACATTTGAGGTGTTATCGAGGCTAATTTGGTTCTCAATCAACTCACATGCAATGGTGTGTTGGAAGGAATTCGTATCTGCCGTAAAGGTTTCCCTAATAGAATGCCTTATGATGATTTCAAGCAAAGGTTAGTTTCATGCAACCTTCCAAATAGTTTAGAAAAAAATCCATTTCCCCAAATATTGTATATGAGAGAGAATTTGTATAAAGATATGCCGTTCTGGCACCGGACGAAGCTTCACATAGTGATGCGCGGATCGCCGGTGAACAGATAACAAGTCGTTTACTCAAAGTTGGTAATTTGAAAACCGATTCCTATCGTATTGGTATGACGAAGGTGAGAATTCCGTATGTGGGTGTATCTGTGTGTGTGTGATGGTGTATGTTACCCTGTACAGCCTGAGTTTTTATTTCTGTTTATCTTTATGTTAACTAGAACTTCAGTTTTTTAGTTACACTTTAAGTTCATGCACGTTTAGATATGCCGTATTGGCTGCTGATGCTGCCAAGCAAGGCAAAGATTTGAAAGATGCTGGAGAGAAAATCGCAGCTCATCTTATCTCTACTGGAGCACTCAAGGAAGAAGAGTTTCAATGTGGTTTGACCAAGGTGTGCATGGATCATTTATTTTTCGTTCTATTAACTTCTCGGTTCTTAACAAAATTTTCATTTATTCTGTTGTTTTAAGGTCTTTTTCAAAGCTGGAGTGTTAGCTCATTTGGAAGAGTTACGTGATGAAGCTCTTGGAGTGATCATCGGAAAATTCCAATGCGCTTGCCGCCATTATCTCTCCCAGTGCGAATACAAGAGAAGAAAGAGTCAACGGTTTGAAATATTCTAAGACAGCCAAACTAGTCCGTTTTCAGAGTTGGACTTCTTATCGTACAGAGAAATGTTCGAGCTTGGTGTACTCTCCGCAACTGGGCTTGGTTCAAACTCTTCGGAAAGGTTAAGCCTCTCATTAAAGGAAACAAGAAAGATGAGGAAATGGAAGCTTTGGAGAAGAAGTGATTCAGTATTCTTATTAACTTTTTATATAATGCTCTTCAGATTCAAAGAGTTGGAAGAAAATCATGGAAAAGAAGTATCCAAACGAAAGGATATCGAAGCTGAAAATCAACGTCTTATTGTAATGTTTCGTTATAGAAAAAATTTTCGAGCCGTGTGTTCCAGGCTGAGAAGCAGGCTATGCTACTTCAACTTGAGCAAGAAAAAGATTCCAATACGGAAGGAGAAGAACGTAGCGCTAAGCTTATGAGCCAAAAAGCTGATTTGGAAAGACAGGTAGCTCAAATTACATTAACGAAGTCAAATTAACGATGATTCAGTTGACTGATATGAATGATCAGTTAGCCGACCAAGAAGATAGGAATGCATCTGTTACTAAAGCAAAGAAGAAGGTGAAGAGGAAATATTTTCATGAGATTCATTGTGGATTTCGCAATTTCAGGTTGAAGCCGACAATGAATCATTGAAGAAGACAGTTTCCGACCTTGAGACAACAATCAAGAAGCAAGAGAGTGAAAAACAAAGTCGGGATCATCAAATCCGTAGTCTTCAGGTTTGTTCTTTTTCATCAATTTTTGAAGATTATTCTTTTTTTGTTCAGGATGAAATTGCTTCTCAAGATGAGGTCATTGCAAAGATCAACAAAGAGAAGAAGCATCAGGAAGAGGTGAAACTTATTCCCTATCACTTATCTGTTTTTTTTATTTTCAGATCAATCGCAAGCTCCTCGATGATATTCAAGCTGAAGAAGATAAGGTTAACCATGTAAACAAGATCAAGGCAAAACTCGAATCAACTTTGGATGAAATCGAAGACAATTTGGAGCGTGAGAAACGCAATCGTCAAGATTGTGAGAAACAGAAACGAAAGGTCGAAGGAGAGCTTAAGGTTGATTAAACAGATATAGTTGTTTAACCTCAGAACAAATTTTCAGCTTGCTCAAGAAGCTATCGAAGAGATTAACCGCCAACGACATGATTTGGAAAACAACTTGAAGAAGTCAGTTTTCAATGCTTCGAATACAAAATTTTTAATTTTCTTTAGGAAGGATGCTGAAATTCACTCCCTCACTTCACGTTTGGAAGATGAACAATCATTGGTTGCTAAATTGCAACGCCAAATTAAGGAGTTGTTAGCTCGTATCCAAGAACTCGAAGAGGAGCTTGAAGCCGAGAGACAAAGTCGTGCTAAGGCCGAGAAGGCAAGAAACGAAATGCAGTTGGAGCTTGAAGAGCTTGGAGATCGACTTGATGAAGCTGGTGGTGTTACTCAAGCTCAGATGGAATTGAACAAGAAGCGTGAAGCTGAGGTTCTAGTTCATTCAGAAAAAAACATGACCTAGAGTTTTTATCATTTCAGTTGAGCAAGCTCAGACGGGATTTGGAAGACGTTGCTATCAATAATGAAACAGCAATGGCTGCTCTCCGTAAAAAGCATAATGATGCTGTTGCTGAGCTTAGTGACCAACTTGACACTGTCCAGAAGATGCGTGGAAAGTATGTTTTTCTAGAGAAATTTCAAATGAACATTTCGTTATCTTTCAAGACTTGAGAAAGACAAGGCTCAACTCCAAAGAGAAATCGATGACTTGCATCAGCAAACAGATTCTGAAGCTAAACAACGTCAGGTAGAATTAATAGTACAGTGCGTGAATTGAATGAGCCACTCAATTAAGAACTGTGAAAGAATGGCCAAGCAACTGGAAACTCAATTAACAGAGATGACTTTGAAGAGCGATGAACAAGCTCGTCAAATACAAGAATTAATGATGTACAAGAACAAAATGCACTCTGAGAATTCTGATCTCAACAGGTTGGCTACTTTTCATTTTATATTTCACACGAAGACAACGAAAACAACATAAATATGGAAATTTAATAGTTCCTCAGAAACGCTCCAACGATCAAGGGAGAAAACTCAGGAGAAACTTCGAGCAAAAGTTCTCTGTACTCCGATTAGTTTGAACAAAGTTCTGAGAGCCTAAGCGTCATGAGACATCGGAAACGAAAACATGCCTATACTCATTCCCTTTTGAGAAAAAAAAAGTTTTCGGTGGTTCACAAGCTTTTCATTTTACACGTACGCTAGCTGTTCGCGGTCGTTCACGATAAGTTCATTCTCCGGTAAACATGTGAGAAAGCAGCTGTGCATAGAGAAAGAGAAACAGCGCATGATCTTTTAATAATTCTGAAAAGGAAATCAGATTGGCTAATGAAACTATTTTTATCGTAACTGATTCAAATGACTATTTCAGACAACTCGAGGATGCTGAATCCCAATTGGCAGCTCTTAATAGAATCAAGGCTCAACAGCATTCACAGAACGAAGAACTCAGACGCCAATTAGAACAAGAAAGCCGTGAACGTCATAACTTACATTCTCAAGTAAATTAAAAGTTGAAATGACTAAGTACAAGCATCCAATATTCAGTCCGCCAACTATCAATTGGAATGTGAGCAACTCCGTGAACAACTCGAAGAGGAACAAGATGCTAAGACTGAATTACAACGACTCATAAGGTGATTCAGAAAAACAGAGAAAAAACATTTATAGTTGATATTTACAGCAAGGCTAATGCTGAAACTCAGCAATGGAGAGCAAGATTCGAAGGCGAAGGAATGAACCGTTCCGAAGAACTCGAAGAAGCTCGTCGTAAATTGGCCAACAGAGTTCAAGAAGTTCAAGAACAATTGGAATCTGCCAACCAGAAAATTGGATCATTGGAGAAAACACGTCAACGCCTAACTCATGAATTGGAAGATGCTCAAGTCGATGCTGATCGCGTATGTTCCATGATCAAATACATAGATACTAAATGAAATCTGACTGCAGGCTAATCAACATGCTTCTGCTCTCGAGAGAAAGCAAAAAGGTTTCGACAAAGTTGTTGATGAATGGAAGCGTAAATGTGAAAACCTCGTTGTGGTATACCGTAAAGGCTTTATGCAGTCAAATAAACTTGTTACAGGAACTTGAATCAGCTCAGCGTGATACCCGTGCTGCTGCTACAGAGACATTCAGACTCCGTAACCAATTGGAAGAATCCAGTGAACAAGTGATTCGAAAAACAAATATCATATAATTCACTTCTCAAATTCAGGTTGAATCTGTTCGCCGTGAAAACAAGAGTTTAAGTCAGGAACTCAAAGACATCGCTGACCAACTCGGTGAGGGAGGAAAGAGCGTACATGATCTTCAAAAGTTACGCAGAAAATTGGAATTGGAGAAGGAAGAGCTTCAGGTATATCTTTTATTATTTTTGTCTATATTTAATATAACTTTAGCAAGCTTTGGATGATGCTGAAGCAGCTCTTGAAGGTGAAGAAGCCAAGGTTCTCAGAGCACAGGTTGAAGTAAGCCAAATCAGAGCTGAAATCGAGAAGCGTCTCCAAGAGAAGGTTAGCTGAGAAATTTCTTTTTGAAACTAATATAATTTTTTCAGGAAGAAGAGTTTGAAAACACCAGAAAGAATCATCAGCGAGCATTGGAGAGCATGCAAGCATCGCTTGAAACTGAGAGCCGCGGAAGAGCTGAGCTTCTGAGAATGAAGAAGAAGCTCGAAAGCGACATCAACGAATTGGAAATTGCTCTTGATCACTCTAATAAGGCTGGCGTTGATGCTCAGAAGAACCTCAAGAGATACCAGGATCACATCCGTGATCTCCAAGTAAATTTCTAGTTTTTACTGTATAATACTCATCCTGGCACTTATAGTTACAAGTTGAAGAGGAACAACGTATGAAGGAAGAACATCGCGACCAAGCTTCTTCAGCTGAGCGTCGCTCCCAAGTATTACAACAAGAGAAAGAAGATCTTGTTGTTGGATATGAACAGGTGATTCCAACTTAGGACTCCATGTTAGTCTGAGTTTTAGGCTGAGCGCAGTCGCCGCCAGGCTGAAGTAGAGAACGTTGATCTCCGTGATACTGTGAACGACTTGGCTAACCAAACTGCTTCTCTCACCGCTATCAAGCGTAAGGTCGAAGGTGAACTTCAACAACTTCAAATCGAAGTTACTGAAACTCTCAATGAATTGAAAACATCTGATGATCTTAAAAAGAAGGTTAGATACCCTTTAGTGGCGGAAAATATTATTTGAAATTTTTCAGCTGGCTGCTGATGCTACTCGTTTGGGTGAAGACTTGCGATCAGAACAAGAACATTCACAGAACTTGGAAAGAACTAGAAAACAGATGGAAAGCCAAATTAAGGTACTTTTCTGATCAACATAAAATTGAATTGGACACACACTTTTGTAGGATCTCCAAACACGTCTGGATGAGGCTGAAGCTCAGAGCATGAAAGGAGGAAAGAGAGCTATTGCCAAGCTTGAAGAAAAAACAAGAGAACTTGAATCCGAGTTGGATTCTGAAGGTCGTCGTCACGCAGAGTCTCTCAAGAATCTTCGCAACAAGGACAGAAAATGCCGTGAGCTTCAATTCCAAGTAGGTGGATCAGGGAATATCAGAAATATTGAAATTACTTCTAGGTTGATGAGGACAAGAAGTCATCTGAACGATTGTATGATCTGATTGAGAAACTACAAAACAAGATCAAGACCTACAAGAGACAATTGGAAGATGCCGTAAGCTTCTTTCTTCGCATATCAGATTTATAACTATAATAACAGGAAAATCTTGCTGCTCAAAACTTAGCCAAATACCGTCAACTCCAACATTCATTAGAAGATGCCGAAGAGAGAGCCGATGCTGCCGAGAACGCTGTATCTAAAATGCGTTTGAAGTCTCGAAGTGGATCACTAGCTTTTGGTAGAGGCTTAGCTCATTCAGTAAGATCAATGTGAATAGAAATATGTAGATGTATGAAATGCTTTTCAGATGTCATCAGCGACCGTTTCAAATATGCGAAGTGGTTCACGAGGTCGTATTCTTGATGATGATATTGAGGAATAAGTGACATCCATGCACATTCTCAAACAAGAAATCCCTTTCATAAAAACAAATTTTCTATAATCTAAGCTATATCCTAATATTCTGTCTTTATCTTCCTTTACTTATATAGATTAACAAATATGCAAATTAATCAAATTATAAAAAGATGATGAATTAGAAGATACATGATAAATCTGAATTTCTGATCAGTTGAATCGCGCCTTCTGAACAGATTTTTTAGAAATTTTATCAAATCTAATCAACTTCGTACTGTCTAATAACACATTATTCGCAATAGAACATCACTTATCAGTTCTCTATACCTTCTCATTTGATTATATTCTTTCGTACGTGAATACTACAACACACGCAATACAACCTACAGATTTCTAATAAAGCAGTTCTCAGATCATACATGACTTACGTCTTCATTACAGTACACTCACACTCAGCTGCCATCAGCATGAGAGATAAGAAATCGTTCATGTCTGGCTCGAAAATATCAGCTTTTTTACAAACGTGTGATTCTCACATAGTATAAAAGGACATTTGATTTATAAATCTCACGCGCTTCTAGATATCATACAAACTATCTTAAAATCAAAAAGTCGAAGAGCATAGATGAGCACTCGAGATTTTCGAAGCTTTGGTACCAATCTCGGGATACATTCAAGGGAACTTAGCGAATGAGCAACTACTTCGTACGAGGAAATGCTATGGCAATCAGTTTGTTTATCATTTCTCCAGATTGAATGATGTCAACTAATTTTGAGAACATGCCTATTCATAGAAACCTGAAGCGCGGATAACACAGATTCATTTTCACCACGTAACCCTGCAATCTCGTCATGTTGTTACTCTTGCAATACTGTACGCTCCAGAAAATCCCCCTCTTGTTATGAATTGTGAGATCAAAAACAGTTGAACGAATCATAAATAATTTTCTACTACAACAAATTGAAACAATAAACTTCAATTGATTGTTGATATTTGTGGGAGGGTGCTGCAGACAGTGATCATATTTGATTTCTTTGCAGTTTTTCTCCAACACATTATGCTTCTACGTATTTCGCTATTGAACAGGATTACGATCAATCTGGAAAACAGATTGATATGATGAAACGATAGCTCCAATTACCCTCCAGATGAATGGGCTGAAGCCCATGCGACTGTTGTAAACAGGTAAACATGGAAGAGATCTTCAAAGTGAGTGCTCAGAACATGAAAAGAAAACAACATGAAGCAATAGACAAGCGTATTGATCAAAGCCTGTAACGAATTAACAAGATTAAGCTTAGAGCCTGAAGAGTCTACCTGCGAGAAAAACAGAATCTCTCTACGTTGTCGTCGTTGCGCTTCCTCTCTAGTTGTATTTCTCATAGTTTTATAAATTCTCTTCAAATGGGCAAAAGTAAGAATGCTCCCACAAGTGTTGGGGGGATTACCTCATTAGCTCCTCTTAACAGAAGCAATGTCAACATATCTATTATACAATTGATTGTAAATATTCCCACATTATAATATAAATCTACGGATGCTAAAATAGAACCACAGCTGGTTTGATCGAAAGACCAAATATCAGTAGAAGTATCATAGAAGAAGTTACAACCAGCTGAAGCATATGACTTCATATAGTATTTTGTTGTTTTTTGTTTTCTTACGCAAGAAGTATACAAAGCCAAATATAGAACATATAATTAGTGTGAATATAATAATATAATTAGTTGTTCGATCATTGAATACTCGTCTAGATAACATGGGCTTACCGATAGCCAAAAACCTGGTTAGTTGATGAGAATAAGATGAATGTAAAGTCAAACGAAAACCTATTGAATGATATGAAAACGCATATGTGATATGAGCATTCTTGGAAAAATATTGATAGTTGACCAATTCGATGATTGATTTGCATAAAGACTTCCGAATCAAAATGTGTGAAAGAACTCCTGTTTCGAAGTAGACCTCAGTTGGTAAGTGGAAGAACTCACAATATGGTTAACGGAGCTGACCAACCTAATAGAAGGAAAACCAATGAAGCATTGGAAATAGTATGGAAAGCAACAAGTTTACCGAAAGGGTTCCTAAAAACAAAAACTCTTGTTCTCTTCCATCTCCTCCGCACTATTCTCACCTGAAGGATTTATGACGTAATAGAACAATGCTGGAAAAGAGATTCATGAGAAATCCCGGCAAGCATATCTAAACGATTTTCATATATGTATGTGCATATGCTTGTCTGTTAATGACTGACACCAAATAGAATAATAGCATTACGAATATTGTCTTGAAGTTTATTTCCTGGCATAGTATGATAGTAATCTGAAGCAGATTCTGATATGACGTAGTGAACCGAAGACGTATAGCTGACTATAAATCAGAAAATGGATAAATGACGTGAAAATTCTTTTGACATGAGGTGAATCTAGGAAAATTACATTTCCAAAGAGGAAATGAGCAGAAAAAAGATATTTCAATTAGATAGACAGAGTGGTAAAGGTGGAGAAGCTGGACGAAATAAAGTTATAAATGTGTGCTCAGAGGAATAAATAAGGTGATTGTGAGTGAATACAAAAAACAGAATGCCTCATTTTTGAATCGTTATTGAGTGAGAATGATTGTAATCATGCTGCTTTGCAACATTATATGTGTCTTATCCTAATATGGATACCATTGATATGTGAATGGCATTCAGGTAGTTTTGAAATAAACATACAGAAACAACGAATTATTCATAAAACATAGCTGTCAGATAGATATAAACTAATCAAAATTAACGAGCATAAGTGGGTATATGCCCCAATAAGGCGTTCTGTTTTCCAAATAATTTATTTTTTGATAAGAGTTGCGAAAATGCGTGAACGAGTTACATTGCAATCTATGGAATAACTCCAACGACGACTCCAACAATGATGAGAAAGGAAAACCCGTTCAGTGTGATTTCTGTATTTATATATAAAAAACAGAGAAAATATGTATCTTGTAAATTCAGAAGTTGTAAAAAAATCATCCAAGAACAGCAAAGTTTCGAATATTTTCACGAAATTCTCTCATGAAATCCGAGTTTCTCATGTATCAATGTGTTGTGGAGAGATTGTTTTAGAACAAATAAGAAACTGTATGATAGCGAACAACATTCTAAGTATTGAGATGTGATATAGGGAGCAGAAAAACAATATGAGAAACATAAGATGGTTTACATCGCACTTTGTTACATAGTAAGGAATGATTTGTACAGGGAAAACAGTTCTTACCCGTTGTTCTCATAGTAAATGAATTCCCTGAAGATGCCTCTCCTATTCTGTATATCTAATCATTCGACTGAAGAGTCTTATAATGAATTGAAAAATTTGAAAATGGAAAAAACATACATCTGTTATGGAGAGACTTGACAATGGATGTCAATGGAAAAAAACACAAAAATATCTGTGAGTATAGAGATGATCAGTACTACTAGTATCTAGATTGATTGAATCAAGCAGTCACAATAGACGATTTGCAAGATTATTTATGAATTTGCAATAGATCTGAAAGAGTTAACAATAAATTGATGAACACTGAGCTGAAGTGAAATATAATTATCACACAGCTTCCTCAAACTAACATGTAGAAGGTAGCAGTGTTGGTGATGGAGAAGACTTGAAGATCTGTTTCTGTCTTCTTTCAGCAGAGACACTAATTGGAGTCTCCTCGCTGACAACACTTCTTATAATGTACTCCTTTTCTGTATACTCCCATAGGTTACCCATACTGAACACTTGACTCTCTTCATTCATGGTGAGTCTTGTTGAATTCGAGTGAAAATTCATGAAATTCTGATTGGCATCCATATTTCCCACTGTTCTTTAGACTCTTTTAATTGGTCGTACAACCCAAAGTTAGTCATATCAAGTAAATGATTTGACAACTAGTTCGATCTCTGGAATAGAAGATTAAGTTGACGTTGTGGGTTTCTATGAAGGCGCGATTGCCGTTGTGTTCCTTCTTCACATGTTCATGAGCAAGAGATTGCTTGAACGTGAGAGGAGCAGGTGAGAAACGTTGGAGAGAAGCGAAAAAAAAAGATGGAGCAGAAGAAAGCAGAAATATAAACGAAGAAAATAAAATTCGTCATTCTTTCAAACCCATTGAGGGAAGTCTAGAGCTATATCGCTTCTGATCACTTTGATGAACAAAGGATGAGGAAAGAGGATAACTGATTGTAGAGAATGAAGAGCATGTGTTATCCTAAAGCAGACAAAAATAAAACATGAAATACTTCATAAAATCCAATATTTGCCAATGTTTAACAATGCGAAGGACTCACCTTTCATTGGCTTTCTGTTATATTTGCCAAATCGATGAACAGTCTGTCGGAGCTTCTGGATTTTCATTTCAAAACCGAATGCATTGCGTTTTGTTGTAAAACTGCTGCTATGTTCATGTCGTATGTTATACTTGTATTGTTTCTTAACTATATGTATCTATGTATAATGTTTATTATATAATATTAGAATAGCTATATATCAATATTGAAGAGACAATGGCCAAAATCTCGCCATCAGATTCGATAACTCCGGTCACAAGACCGTTACATCTTGATACAACGAATCTTATAGATGATAACTTTCTATCAGCTCCAGCTATGTTTATGGTATGTTCATACTTGATACATTGAAAAGTAGAAATAAGTTTATTTATAAATACAAATAGATATCGTGGTAATCTATATGATTAAAATCAAATATATTAATGTTTACATTGGTGATTCATGTGAGCATGCGTTCACTGCCCTTATATCGTCTTCATAGCTTTCTTCTTATCACCTTTTCTCATTGATCAATATTTCAATATTCCAAATTACTTATATAATGAATGACCCTCATTTACTTTCAACTAATGAAAATGAAGTTCAAGTAAGTTAAACCATTTTCCTCTCTCTCTACAATGCTTGTATTGTACTTACTTATTTGGCTTTTAAAGGAGCACTCACCCGGATTGAGTACTAAAATCAAAATTCCAAAACGTCATTACTCAACAGGAGATCCATTGGAACGTATGGCGACGCCTATGTTTGACAAGGTTTTCCATTAATTTGAATTTATCATTTCTACTCTCGTACACATCCATATGGAAAGAGTGAGAGAGATAGAAAGCAACTATGCATAACGAGGTTATCATCACTACATTTAAGGAAGAAGTTCGTCAACGTAAGAAAGGACCATCCTCAGCTGCAACAGTCCTTGCCATGTCCGGATTGTTTGTCGTTGGAGTAACATTAATGGCAAGCGGAATAATTGTTTTGATCTTAGTGAGTTTTATGATAATTCTTGATTAAATGAGTGGGAAACAATTTGAACGCAGAAGAGACTGAACTACGAAATGGGTTAGAGCGAAGAATTAGATGATTTTGTGATCTTTCTAGATTATTTTTATCTAGAAGAGCTCTTAATAGATGATCATCAAGCAAGATCTTCTTATTCTTTCTTCTCCTCCGTTATTATCTTATTATTATTTCTTCTCTTTCTTCCAATAATTTCAATCATATAATTCTATTTTGCCCTAGAAGATCACTCAGACTCTCCAACAGGGCCTTCACCTGCGCTGTTTCGTGTGAATCGTTAGAGAGGGGCTGGATTCATTTGAGATGCGAGGAGAAGGGTAGTGGATGACTGACCCAGGTTGCCGAAATGGTGTTAGAAAGAGAGTAAAACAATGTGAACGATAAACAGAATGAAAGATCAAGACTGTGAGAGAGCAGATTTTCTAACAACGAGGTTCTGAGAAAAAGTCCACATGGTTTGATCAGTTTGAATACTTCATCAAGCTATACAGCAAGCGATTGGAAGTTTGGATAAGCTAAGGAAGATGGGGTGAAGTGCAGAGGAAGCAGAAGAGGTGAAAAGAGAAAGAGAGAGACAGAGAGAGAGAGACAGAGAGATAAAAGATCAGTGAAGTTTCAAACGACTAGAACATCAGCATCTTATACACCTCCTTTGTCCGATTAGATGAAACAATGGAAACATCATGATCTAAGCTTCATAATCGCACTCAAGTGGACCGAAAGTGAGAAAACTCCTCAAACCAAATATTATTCCATCTTATAAATAAATGAACACCAGTCATAACATGTTTCAAAAATAACTACATGAGAGAGATGAGAGGAATACCTTCTGAGAACAGTTTCTTCATGCAACCTGCCTGTTGGTAAAAACTTCAGATGAGAATCTGTGTGGAATTTTTATCGCAACTCATTCCGTACATTCTGAAATGAAAACCACTGGATCGTTGTGGTTATCCGCTTTTTATTGTTTCACCAGAAAACGTTTTTTCACTTTTTTCCTTTTGCCTGATTTTCTCGTCGTTTGCAATTCATTAAACTGCCTACTAAAATCCAGAAAACTGAAAAAAGAAATCTTCCGCTTAACCGATTGTCATACGGAAGCCAGGTGGCTGATCAAGCGAACATCGGCGGGAGTACACTATTCTTTATTAGCGACCGATTGAGCTCACAACTTCAAATTTTTCAATGTTCATTGATCAGATTATGGGTTTAGATTCGCAACTGCATATGAAACCTAGAAGAAGCTCTGGTGTTGATATGAAAACATGTGTACCGTCTTTCATTTGAGTTGTTACGGTTCAGATAATTGAGCTGAAAATTGAATCAACTTGATCAACTCCAAACTGAATCAAGATCTACTGAAACAGTTGTTTGAGTCTTTTTTCTTTTTGTGGAATGTTTAGAGATCGTTTGGGAGGGTCATTCTTTGAGAGAGAAAAAAAAGAAAAAGATCCGATGAACTTTCGATTGTCTTTTGCTGTCATGCTTTGTCAGAGATCCAGTTGAATCCATGTTAATTCTCAAGCTGAGATTTCTAATGATGAAGTCGTCAGGGTGGGCAAAATGGTCAGAAAAAGCTAGTCATCTGATGATGACGAAAATGAACGTTTTAAAGCTTAAAACATGGGAAGATGTTGAAATTTCTTGACCATAAAAGGTGATTTGACACGTCAAATAAGGACAATCCTTAGCTGGTTCAGTCATATTAACGTATTAGTTGTTAAGAAAAACTGGGAGACATTAGAGAGAAAAAAAGAGGAAAAGCTGATGGCTATACATCAAATTGCTGACTGATGAGTGATAGATGATTGCCTTAGTGTCCATGATCAGAAAACGGTTCAAAAGAAACTTATGAAAGCTCTCGGGCGTTTTGGAACACTTCTGTTTTCACGCACATGTATGATGAGGTCGCATCGATGCTATAACTATATAAGACGTCTACTTTACTTAAAAATCAACAGATTGTTATGAATGTCTCTCAGAAGCATTGCTACTGCAAAGAGTTTTAATCAATTTTCCATTAAATGTTTCCAAACGAAGTTATATGATTGTTTCATTTCAGCAAACGCAAACACCTTTCGTCATAACAGGCTGTTTATTCCTCGGCTTTGGGTTTGCCATGCTGCTCGTCTGTGCTGTCCTTCAACGAAAAAATGTCGTCAAGTTCTTGTTGGATTTAAATAGAGACTTGTATTTCTTAAATATGAACAAGAGTTATATGTGGCGTATGATGTTTGAGATGAGATCAGAATTGCCATTAGCAGAAAGCTGATTTGTGAGTACTGTATCTGACATCTGTATGATGTATGCATATGCTCTGAAATATATTATTTTTGAATTATTATTCGGGTAAGCTAAGACTGTAACTGTGTTCCAATTACATATAAGCTTTAATAAACAATTGAAAAACATGCATGTTTCTATGTTAAAAGACAATTTTTAGTTTTGATTATCAATCATAAATAAATAAACTTTTACTGATTGTAGAGAAGACCAAAGGTCACATCTCTCATAATCGTTGTCAGAAGGTTTTGATTTGTTGAAATAAGCAGAAATATAATTGAAAATGATGAGATCTCATTGTCGGCATAAAATCAGAAAGAATAGGAAAAGACCTGTATTTCTACTAAAATCTCTCACATCTTTAGCTCATTTATGTATCTCTCTCATTCTCTCATACTCTATCATCTAATGTTTCTCTCTCTTTATCTTCCTTAATCTTTTTATCTTTTTCTCTCTATCCACCTTTCTTACTCTCTCTTTTAATTATTAACTATCTGCTCTGCAGCTCAAATTGCTGATCACCATCTCAACGTTGTATATGGGGGTCGTCTCGAAGGCTGAATGCAGAGAGTTCATGCATATGGTAGAGAGTGATTGTCCTTCTATCCATATTTTCTACCTCCTCCATTTAATCACTGTCTATCTGTTCATCTTCATCATTATTTCTTATCCTCCCTTCCCTTTGAATGAGAAGAAATTGTATATATCTCTATAATTTCTTTGTTCTATCCACAGATAGTCTTCTATTTCACGTTTAACGATATATCTCTCGGATGCCCCACAGTAGATTCCCGCCTCCTAACTGACCATCCGACGTTTCAACTCCGCCCAGCCAGGACCCCATATAAGCAAGTGTCGTGCTCCGCCTATTTCGCAGTCTGTAGACATGGAGTCAGACGGACGCCTTAAGGCATACAAGTTTGTCGCTTATGCGGCTGTATCGTTTTCAATCGTGGCCGTTCTCTCGGTCGCTTTCACTTTACCAATGGTATACAACTATGTAAGCCACGTAAGACGTCAAATGCAACACGAAATTTCTTTCTGCAAGGTTGGTTTATCTTCATTATTTAATTCACATGCTTATTTGGTTTAAATGAAAATGTATTCTTTCTAATTTGAACGAAAATGTCACTTAAACGATTTTTCCCTCGTTGTCATCGCTCAAAAACTGATTTACATTTAATCGGATGTCTATTTGATCTCCTTGCTTACGCAATCCAATAGAGATTTCCTCACGTTCTATATATGCATCTAAACTTACATTTACACACACAAATTTTTATTATCCCTCGTCCCTGACCTTTTTGCTAAATCTCGCAATTCCAGGGATCCGCCAAGGATATTTTCGCCGAAGTTAACTATATGAAACAACAACAAAGTGGACCAATGGCTCCACGCAACCGTACTGCTCGTCAAGCTTACGGCGGACCAGAAGTCAACCCAGCCCCCAACCTTCAGTGTGAGGGATGCTGTCTTCCAGGACCTCCAGGAGCTGCTGGAGCTCCAGGAAAGCCAGGAAAGCCAGGACGTCCAGGAGCCCCAGGAACTCCAGGAGTTTCCGGAAAGCCACCAGTTGCTCCATGTGAACCAACCACTCCACCACCATGCAAGCCTTGCCCACAAGGACCACCAGGACCTCCAGGACCACCAGGAGCCCCAGGAGACCCAGGAGAGGCCGGAACCCCAGGACGCCCAGGAACTGATGCCGCCCCAGGATCCCCAGGACCACGTGGACCACCAGGACCACCAGGAGAGGCCGGAGCTCCAGGACCAGCTGGAGAGCCAGGAACCCCAGCTCAAGCTGAACCACTCACCCCAGGACCACCAGGAGAAGCTGGAGATCCAGGTATTGTTTTATTTCTTTTAAAACTTATCTCTTATTATAAAATTATATTGAGCATTGTTAACTATACTTTATTATAGGACCACCAGGACCACCAGGACCACCAGGACAACCAGGAGCCGATGGACCACCTGGACCCCCAGGACCAAAGGGAGCCCCAGGACCAGACGGACCACCAGGAGTCGACGGACAAGCCGGACCAACTGGACCACCAGGACCAGCCGGAACTTCTGGAGAGAAGGGTATCTGCCCCAAGTACTGCGCCATCGATGGTGGAGTCTTCTTCGAGGACGGAACCCGCCGTTAAGAAGTCTACAAGACGGCTTAACCGTATTTCCACGACGCCATCCACCTCATCAGGAGTGTCTTCAACTTGTAAAAAAGTTGTCGATTTTGTTGTACCTAGTGTCGATGCAATATATTTATATTTATTATTATTATTATGCCATTCCCCTACCGCTGCTATTAATAAAGACAATTCGGCTGGTAAAACAGTGTTCTTTTATTGTTCTTTCAATCCTAAGAAATGATAAGCAGGTTCTTTGATGAATTTCTGAAGCTAAAAAGCTTCCAAATACAAGAAGATCAAGCACATCGAAGCAAATCTTGCGAAATCCTTTTCAGTCCATTGTTCCTAGAAAAAACTGCGTCAATCAACACAGTTCACGGTACCGCTCATCGATCAGATGAGAATGTTCTACAGCAGCTTTTCTATTTCATTTATTGTCTTGAAGTATCATTTATCTCATTTCATCTGTTCAGTTCATCGTTTTCTTTGATTTTATAAAAAAAAAACTTTTTCTTACAATCATCTCCGATTTTGATTGTAAGTGAAAGTGTACTGTCATCGATGAGATGTAAAAGAAATAAAATGCAAATGGATATTGGAGAATGGAGAAGAGAGATACAGTGATAGTTCACACAACTCTCATCCCTTCATGAGCATAGGGTTCAAACATATATTTGATATTGATAACAATAAATCGAGTATATACTCGTTTTGAACTGATTTACAGCTGAACTGTATATCTGATCGAGACAATAGGATTAAGAAACTGTTTCATGTTCTATTATGTTATTTTCTCTTCTTTTTTTCAACTTCTAGAAACCAGGTGGCTGACATAAGTTATCCAGATAGCTTCACTACATGAAGAGTGCGTGAGAGCTTGAAGTTTATCAAATCTGTTCATAATGATTAATGCTAGTAATATCAAATAAATCTTCGAATATGAAGACAACGATCTCAACTTCTGGGAAGAAGGCTAAACGAAAACCTCGTTGTTGGGATGACCATCTCTGTGGGTCACATGGCCAAGTTTAGATCCACACCGATAGAAAATAGAAAAACAGTTGAAAGAAACAAGAGAAATGAGGTGATGCATGCGAGAGAAGAACATAGAGTGTGTGAGAGAGAGTAACAGAGGGATAGAGAGCTCATAAAAATACATCATTCTTATCCATACCATCTCATATAACTCATTTACATAAATGCATTTCACGTGAACAAATCTCACGTGGAGTTAGATGACTAACGGTCTCAATGTTATTTCTCGCAACCATTAACGCACTGACCGGTTGTTCTTTTGCCTGATTGTTAAGTCATTTAACAAAAATTAACTTTTCTGTTCCAATTTTTCTTTCAACGTTTCTTTGAGTAAATAATTGGTTGATAGCGTTCGTTCCATCCGATCAGACATGTCAAAGGATCGTTTTCACTTTCCGACGTCTTTCAGTTTCAGTCCAAAATCCGAATTCTCGTGTCAACGTCGGATATACGTAAGAGAATGAGTTTAAATGGACAGAAAGGAATGCAAGCTGTTAATGTAATGTATGTATGTTTGCAAAAAAGATACCAAAAATAAAAAAACCTACTATAAAGGTGTGACATGTGTCCTCATGTGTCCGATGATATTGAAGATGAAAGAGACACATGGGATACGGCGAGAAACATAAACATAAAGCGAAACAAAAATGAACGTAGTGATTAACATCCCTGTTAAATTAAATCTTCATTTGAATATGAGCCTGCTTAATAATCACAATAGAAATTTGGACCTAATAGAGATAATAAAAAGGAAAAAAAAGGAATAAACAATAGTTGACAGCAATAGAATGAGATTATGTCCTTTATAAGAAGAGTATATACTATATAAGGATGAGAACATTACATTGTTTTTAAGAAATATCAGAAGAGAGGAAAGTAAGAGAGGATGAAGAGGATGAGTGAGAGAAGTAAGAAACGTTAGATGAAGATATCAAAGATAAGTTAAGGATATGTTTAATCTGACAATAAGCTAGAAACTCCACATTCAAAACTTGATAAGAAAGTGCTTAATGTTGAGCTTACAAATCATATTTTGTTTTCAAAAAACAATATAATTCATATAATTTATACAAGAAATAAAAGAAATTTCTATTTAATATATGTCAGATGACATGAGGAAAACAAAAAAAAATAATTTTTTAAAATAAAAAAAATAATTTCTCGAGAAAGACAGTAAAGACCAGACCATTAATAAGAGTTTTCCTTTTTTGTAATAGAAGAAGAACACATTGAAAGTGAAGATGTTTGGTTCAAACGGATACGATGAGGAGAGAAAGAAGAAACAAACAAACAAACAACAACTTTTCTCTTTTTTTGTTCAAAAAATAGAAAATTATTTTGAAATATTTCTAAGAAAGAGGATATATTCACAGAATATTCAGATGTTACGTGTCCTCTCTCACCTTTTGTCAGAATATTATAATTCAATATAATAATATATATAATAATAATATATAATAATATAATTATATTTGTTGGAAGATTTGTTAGCTCATTCCTTGATTAACCATATCCATATTGTCATCTGGTTGTATTGATTTACAATATTGGAATAAGATCTTCTGATAATATTCACGAGGAGTTAATGTTCGAGCTGTAGAACATCTGTAACAAGAGGAGGATTATTAGCTTCACATGAACATTCATGAGACATACCGGCTTGTATTAAGATCTAAACTCTCCATACTGGCCAATACACGATCTGATGCAAATGATAGTGTACGAGGATGTTCAATCCACTGAAAGAAAAATGTTTTTATTAGATGTGCTCTCATATGCAAGCAATTAACAAAATACCTTGAAATAGTATATATCGGGAGGCACGTACGGTCGTCCGCCAATCCAATTCAAATCTGGTTGTCTTCCATTGATGAGGCAGTCCAGTAGATATTCCTTAAAATACAAAATAAGTTACATTGAAATATTCTATTTTATAATTACTTCCGGCAATTGTGCCAATTTGTTTAGTTGCTCTGGCGTTAATCCATAATTCTTTTGTAGAAAAGCCACATATCCGAATACTTCACCCAAGTGTACAACCTAGCATTGATTTCTTTCATATATGGAATTATCATTGTATTCAAACCTTTCCACCAATAGTCATGAATGATCGTCCAAGACTTCGACCGTAAAAATGAATATCTCTAATGTATTCAGATCCAACTAAATCGATACACATCGTTGTTATAATGAGGCCAAGAATGATATATGCTAGTGTTGCTGGGAAGAAATCCACGTTAAGAGGCACAATATCACCAAATCCTACAATCACCATAATAGAGTAAGCATCTCGCTCGAAATAGTTTGCTTACCGATTGTTGTAACAGTTACAAAACAAAAATAGAAAGCATCGAAGAAAGTCCAAGACTCCCAATATCGAATGAGATACGCACCACCCGCTACATAACCTGGAAAACAATTTGAAATTGTACGGAGTGTGTGTGAGTAGTCAAAAAACTGATAAAAAGATGTTTGCTTTTCAGAAACGGAACGTTATCTATTCTCTTAAACAGAAAAATAAAACTCAAAAGCACTACCGCTATTACTTGTTTCAACTTCACAATGAAAGAAAGTAGCTCAAAAACTAAATAACGCTCCTAGAGTAACTCGAAAGGACATCCACAAGAGAGAGATACCAGAAGTTTCGTTCGATCAGAAAATTCAGGTGTTCAGTTGTGAAGAGTTGGCTCTTCGGGTACGACAGGTCATTCAATTCGCATGAATTAGTGAAAGCTATCGTTATATTTTTGAATTCTGTTGCAGTCAACAAGTTTTGCATTGAATCTCAAATTGGAAGAACAAGTCATAGCTTTTCTCTGATTTTGATATCCCTCGAGATGGAAAATGCAAAAGTACCATGAATAACTGAAGGAGCATCTTCAAGCATTTGGGCTTCATTAAAACGAAAGTCATGAACTTTGAGATTTTGTGTGGCAGGTCTTCACTTTAGTTGATATCTCATTTCTATGTTACCCTCTCTAACTCGATCTCACTGAGTTTTGAAAATGAAACAGAATAATCTCTTACCTAACATAATGACCAAAATGAAAACAACGGATACACGACGTTCATGATGAGGAGGTTCAATATCAACTTCTTCAGCCTAAAGTAACACGCAACCCTTTTTAATGCTCAATAAATTATGAATACCTGAGCTCGAGTGTCATCACTATGAGAAGCTCCTTCACTATTTTGAGTATGAATTTCTGATATGTCTGTAACAAAAGATTCAGAGTGATAACTGAGTTTGTGAGGAAACCTTCGAACGTTCCAGCATCTGAAATATTGTCACGCTGTTGTCGCTTTAATCGTTTCTTGCTGTTGTACAAGCGTTGTTGTCGTTGTAATAATTCAATCGTTGGCATCTGAAGGAAAAAAAAGTAAAATAAACAAATAAATGGATGAAATGAATGTTAGCTGATGAAAATACGAAAAGCTGAGAAGAAGTTTCTATGCTATTTAAGGATTACAATTGTTTTTCGAGGTCTTCGTTTGAATCGACAACATAAGCATTTGATGCATTTCCAACATTGGGCATAACAGCTATCCATGAAATTTCGATAAGTGTTGTGAACCCAGATAATACCTCCTGAAGCAGATTTGTTAACATTACAAGAGAGTTAAGTATGCTATAACCTGATAAGAAACGTCCCATATCAGCTATTGTAACAAGTATGAGAGGAATTCCAAATAAGGCATAAAAAATGATGGCAATACGGCCAGCATTAGTTCTCGGAACGATGTGTCCGTAACCTGAAATAGATTGCTAATTGGAAAAGAAACATTGACTGAAGAATGTTTTGAAAACTTTGCTTGTAGAATCGTGCAAAACCCCAGTAACTTAGATCTCCCTCTTTAATTTTCAATGGGCCTTGTGAGGGGGAAAATCTTTGTTTGACGTCTGTAGGCTTTGGAAGTCCCTGATGCCATGAACATATTTCAAAATTTATATCGAATATAAAAGAATATAATAAAGTTATTTTCTTTTCGGTTTTTTCTTCTTCTCTTTCTTTTCTCTCGACTACCCAGTAAGACGATTGTCCAAGATTTTTGATGACGATCAGGACACTTTGATGGACTTTTTGAATTGCTGTGATTTACCCAGGGGATACGGAAAACGTTTCGTACGCGCATTTTCAGTTACGTACCATGAAGGGAATATTATTTTCATAACAAACCAACCAATAGTTGTAATTGCCGTCCAAGAAAAGAATATAGATGACTCAAAAGACCACTTAAAGGGTCCTGTACCCGTGATGACGTCATCTGGTGTCATATAGTTACGTGTATAATCAACGAATACATCACGAATTATCGAATTCATCCTATAATGATTATATACTCAGTACTTTTATTCAATAATATAGGTGAATCGCTTCACAACTCACCCTCGATGAGCTGTGTCTTCCCACACATGAAACGGTGTGCCGTTTCCGTGCATTTGCCATAATTGATCGATGATTCCTTTTTTAATTCGTTGTACGCGATGTGCGGTTTCATTACGTAACTGTTCTTCGAACGGTTTTTCATACTGAACAGTGATTACTTGTTAGAAGTCTGATAAAAGATTGTTACGTGGTAGAATATGGTTGCTCCGAGAAGAGTGTAAGCAGCGGAGAGGATCACTAAACCAACGTGAGGAAGAGCTATCCGAAGATTCTGAAAAAAAAATGTTTGGATAAGCTCTAGGATAATCAATGATTAATCTATTTTCTTTATAATCAGTTGACTGTTCTTATCGAGAGGTATTATCTTAGTTTTCTTCCAACTTGATTCATTTTTTTAACCAGATTAGATCAGCCTCACTATTTCACTATCATTAGTCTGGGTCTTTTTTTTTCTGTTTATAAACTGAGTAGGGGAGACTCAGTGCTGAAGTCTAGAGGAAAAAATTCAGTGGCTTGTGGCCAACCCCTCAAGCCAGTGAGCCTTCTGATGCTTGGCTTTCTCTTCCAAATTCTCTTGGGAAGGTCAACAGACTCATCATTCATACGACCACCGAGACGCTGTATCGAACAATTTTCTTACTAAGAGAGAGAAGAGATATGTAAATTCTTGAATAAAAATGAAAAAAATCTTCCTCATATGAACTAGCTAGATATCATCTGAGAAACAATGGCATGTCAAAACAAATTAATTTTTCTGTTATCAATCTATCAAGTCAACTCATTTCAAACCAAATCATATACCTTAAATCAGGCAATTCGAAAACAACTTACTCTTTTCCAACGAGATTTTCTCTGATTTAATTTGTTTTCCTGCTCATCTTCCACATGATCCAACCCTTCTTCTCCATCTGCTGCACCGATACCGCTTCCACCACCGTTGCCATACAGAGTCAACCGCTCCGCACTAAATAGAACAGATTATTTCCATTTTACCTAGTATTTTCAAATTTTAGTTGTATTTTTGTTTTTTTGAAACTTCGTGCTTGTGATAATTGAATTTGACGAACTTCTTCTGAAGGTGTTTCTTGTCTCAAAACAATTTTTTTTCAATAACTTTGCAAAATATTAACAGTCCAAGTCCAGGAAATAGTCAACTAGGTAGAAACTATTCGAAAATGCTTACATGGTGGGCAGATCAGCGGAGCTTTTTCGTGAATCGTTCAGAGTGATGGTAGAACAAGATAACTAGTTTATAATTAATAAAAATTATAAAAATCTAAGATTGAGCCGGAAGAAATGACATGTATAACTGGAAAATGTCCTTTTCAATTCCTCTTTCTCAATTGAGCCATTGAATACGCGAATTATCACATCAAAAAGGCAAATACCAAGTGAGTAAGTAGAGGGAGAGAGAGAGAGAAAAAGAGAGAAAATAAAAAAGTTTAGATTATAGAGAGAAAAAGAATAAGAGCTATTGAAGAGAACTCGAAAGCGGTTAATCCTTAAAACAAGGCCGAAAAATGAGTGAAACGAGACCCTATCGATAAGCCCAAACTTCTAAGACTTGAGGGAAGGCAACTCAGTCTGGTAGCCTGACGTCTTGTAATAGCCATATTTGGCTTTTTTTCGGACAACAAATGGCTTTTTGTTCGAGAAAGATTTCTCACATCTTCACATTCACACAGAATTTCGATGAATGATTGTGGAAGCGCACTGTGAACAACAGTATGGAATTAACACTACGAGAAACTGTGTGATACGGTGAATCTCAACATGAGATCTATATCTCAACACAAGAAATATGTATTCTACTATAACTTCGGATTTAACAAAATCAAATTATATTGTTTTTATCTCAGTTTCCTGACTGTTTGCTAATTCTGTTTTGGGACACATACACCTGTCCAGGCTCATTGAGTGCCCTTCGGCGTTCGTTGGATTCGAACGGCTTGTAAGTTCTGATTTCATCACCCTCGAAGAGTTCATCCATTTTTTAATGTTATTGTGTATTTTAAGACTTTTTTAAAGTTCTTCTCCATTTCCACTCCTCTATTCTTTGTGTTTAAGCGTTTCGAGCTACTCAAGAGACAACGAATATAGGGACTAGAAGTAAAACTGAAGAAAATGAAGAAAGACAGAAAATATGAGCCATGTCTTGAAGAAAGATTGGAAGTAAAAGAAAGAAACTTAAAATCTGAGAGAGAAAGAGGAGGAAGAGAGAGAGGTCAAGAAGTCTAACTGTAAAAGAGAGAAGCATGAATCTTGTGAAAAATGAAGCAAGTGAATGAGTAAGTGTAGTGATAGTGAGAGAAACATGGAGAACGCAAGAAGGAAAATAAGAAAGTGAGAGAGGAAGACGACTAGAGAAAGAAGAAAGAGAAGAAGATATGCTTAAAAAGAAAATCTAGCACCCCAATAGAAGGATTACAGCTCAAGACCTCACATCAAGCACTGCACGGTTCAACACACTCTCTCCTTCTCTCCTTTATTTTCGGGTTCTTTTTTCATGGAAACTGAGTGAAAAGTTAGGAGAGAAGACAGTGAGAGAGAGAGAGGGTGAAGCCTTGTTTGGCAACTTGTCAAGGTCACTCATCATGTCCCTTGAGATGTCGATTTTTCGTCATCGCTTCACACATACGCACCAGCTTCGATGAGCTCAATAGTTTAGATCTCGTACTTATAGATCTATCGAATTTTGGGCAGTTCTCCTGTTTTCGTATTCCTTTGGTGACATTGCGTATAGGAGAAACTAATTTAGAAAGAATGGAAATCAGAGGCTAGCTTCCGTTTCCGGGCTCACTTAGCAGCTCCTAAAGGCAACAGCACTACCCCTTCAACGGGAGAACAGTTGTTTTCTTTTCTCCAGGTAACTTTACTGTTGCTCCCTCAAGAAAATATCCTTTATGCGATTGACTGAAGAGAATGAAAACAATCCGAACGTAACGGATCTCAACCTCGATTTCATCCAGGCCCAGATGGCTCTCTCGGTCTCCGAAGATGCCGACGTCAATCGCAAAAACTTGTCGACATTACTCCAAGAACAGAGAAACAAAGATTATAAGGGAGATGAGATAGTAAGTATAACGAATAGATAATGAAGCATTAATAGAGAGAGTAAGAGAGAGAAAAATCAAGCGAGAGAATCATTGAGATATCCAGGGGTGAAGCTGTGAGGGCCATCTGTCGCATTTGATAGACGGTAAATGTCACTTGATTATCGATTCATTCCGTTGTCTTCAGAAGACTTCGATGGTCCCTTCCTTCTTTGAACTGAACTCTAAGACTTCTGACAGAAAGTACGAGAAAACGGGAAAGCTCGAGCTAAAGCATATGAATGGTGTTGGTCATTTATCGTGTCACATTCAAACAAAACGGAGTTACCGCTATTGAAATGGGTGGGTTTTGTGAGAGAGAACAGAAACTACAAGAAATAGAGAGACAAAGAGAAAAGGATGGAAGAAGAAACAAATGGTTCAACCAAATGACATCATAAACACCGAATAACGTCTACATCAAATCTCGAACTAATGTGTATTTTGTCATTTGTCTTCGAGCATAAACTCCGAATTATAACATTATCCATCCTGACGACAAATAGCACTCAAACCCATATGATGTAAGAGAATCTCTGATTTCATGAAGTCGTTCGATACTATTAGGCTATTCATTAGCAAGGACAGATTAAATAGATAAATGAAAATTCAGTTGAAACTTTCTCAAATGGCCCAAATAATTGATGTCTTTGCAGTCCAATTTTAGATGCGTTTTTGGTTTGCCTAATCCTCAGAAGTTAAGATAGATAAATGATTTTGAAATTATTTCTTTCATTCAAAGAAGTTTTCTTGTTACTTTTTTTCATTCAACTCATTTCTAAAATCCCTCAAAGTGGTCTCAACTCAAACATGTTTTTAAGTACTAAAACTAAGAATCTTTTCTTCATCAGCACATCGTTGAATAGTTAAAATAAATGAAAACAACCGTGTTTTGAGTCTGTTCAACAATAAATGAGCTGCTTAAGATACGTGAACTTCACGTGAAAATGTTCACGTGAGAATATGATTTTTGAATTTTAGAGAATAATTAATCATTAGTAATGTGTCTATGTGTTCAGAAATATGAAAGAAATGAAAGAAACAGAATCGTATAAGGATGAAGTGGATGGAGATAAGAGAACTTGTTACATAGAGAAGGCTCAGCCTATGACTTGCTTAGATAATTCAATAAGCGAAGAATCTGATGAACTTTTGATGTTTTTTTAAGCACAAACATAGCTTTCTCATAATTTTAATCAAGTCAAAGAAGATGCAAGAGATGTTCCATCATTCACATAACATCAGTATAGGAAAGAAAGATGTATTTGAACTAGAGAACGTCCATAAGCTGTATGTTCCCTCAAACTAAAGCAAAATGAGAGAAAAAAGAAATTCAAAAAAGATACTTATGAGCTGTTAAGATGCGAATCAATCTCACATGCAGAGACACGCTTTCACAAAAAAATTTTGAAAATTTGAAGACAAATGACCTAATCTGTCGGTCATATTGCTTGGAAGGAGGACAGTGAGAGATGGCGAAAAGCGGTTGGCAGAACGAAAGAAGGGAGTTTTAATATGAAATAGTATTATTAGCACAATGAAAAGAAATAAAATTTGATTAATCATCAGAAGATTGGAAAATTCAAAAAAAAAAATTTACTGATAGACTTACGATACTCGATGCCCGTATTCCGTTGCTAAGACATCAGGAAGTAAACCATGGATGTTCATAATGTTTTGAGTGAAATTTTCGAGTTTGTAAAAGTTTAATGACGGATTTAATGAGAAGCAAGCTATTGCTTCGGCAATGAAGTTTCAATGTGAACAAGAATAAGATGAAGAATAAGAAGAAGCTTGTTGAATGTCGTCAGGTTTACAATGTATTCGACGACCTCAAAGCTCACTAGCATAATGGCTTTATATAGAGTTAGAATGAAGCAGAATTAGGCTTGGATGCTCTTGAATCTGAGTCGATTAGATAGAATAAACGAGTAGAAGGCGTGAAAATTTGTGCTGAAGCCCTTTTTCTATGCTTTTGAGCTCAAAAAATGAAAGAGAGAGAGAGAAAGGGAGATAGAGAGAGAGAGACATGAGAAGAGAAACTGCTGATTAGAAAGGAGCGGGAAGAATGATATTCGTGTGTGATTGCATCTGCGTCAGATAAATAATAAACTCATTTGATCATAGCCTATTTCATGTTGTCTCAGACACAAAAAAACGAATGATTGTGTTCGAACGGATTATATTCAAACCGTTTTTTTTTCGAAATTTTTTCAACTGCGATAGGTAAGTGAATAAGTCTGGTGTTCAGCATATCGAATCTGTTGGAATCAACCCTTTGTCTGTTTTTTTATCCAAAAAACGGCTAATCCAATTTTAGTCTCCAGAAACGATGTTCCTTTTCCCCTTCTTTGGCAACTGTTCGTATGACGTCGATGATGAAAAGCGATTTGGCATCTTCTGATGATTCAGTGACTTTAAGAAAAGTTTGAGGAAGAAAAAATGGCTAAAGAAGAAGCTGAAGAAGTCATATCGGGTAAACAATCATCACCAGGCCCCACACTTCCACAGAGCTATCTATCCATCTGTTCAACTCTGGCAGGCCTCTTCACTATAATGATGGACAGAAAATTTTGACAAGAATCTCTTTTTCCTTGTTCATTTCGCCATATATGTATACTACTTATTGATAGTTTTAGAAATGAAAAAAATGGTTTTAGTGGTAAGCGATGTACTTGTTGGATATAGAGAAGCTATATGCCAATCTGTTCGAACAGCATTGTGAGCATAAGGATGCAAGAATCTAGTTATGACATTACAGATAAGAGCGAGTACATTTCTGTCATATGCAAATGACTTCTATTCATCACATAGTCTAATTATTATTATAAATTTGGACAAATAGTTCAAGACACTATGGCTATCCAGCATTATGTTCATGCTAAGTAAGAGTTAGCTTTCATACTCCATTTTGGTTCTGACGCGAATGAACATAGTTCATCACAAGGTGTTAAGAACTTTTCTTGCCAACTTCTAGGAATCTTTCAACGTACAACATGAGAGACGAAGATCAATTCTGATACTTTTCAACAATTTCAAAATTTGACTAGCTTTAGTTTTTGTTCATGATCATCTTGAAGTCGCTCAATTCCCTTTGCTCTCTCTCTCTCTCACTGCCTTTTTCTTTTTCCTCAGTTCTATCTCTTCTTTTCACATATATCTCTTCGCTATTTTAGACATAGAATCTTCAATTCTTGCCAGCGAGTGTCAGATCTAGTAGTCGGTAAGAATAAAAGAAGTTGAACACATAAATTCAAATTTCAACTATTAAAGTCTTAATATCGGAAAGATTGTTCGACATCATAAGCGAGAAATCCTAATGCGATGAATGGTAACTCTCTCAAAACGACTGAAGTCTACAAATAGAAACGGACACATCCGAATTAGAAACAAAATGCGGGGAAAAGCTTCCAAATCATAAAGGGAGCGCTTTCAATGGCAATCAAGCAGTTCATACTCAAAGTCATGAAAAGGTTTCGAGAGCAAAAAAAAGAGAGAAAAAAGTTTGATAACTTGAGTTCAAGTGGTCAACTTCTCTTCTTCTTCAACGATGAGATACATGATGGGAAGCTAGTGCAAATGGATGACTTTTAGATTCAAGATTATAATCCCAAATAAAGAAACTTCTCTTCTCTGTAATTCAATGACAGGATGTGTTATAAGAGGAAAGATTCTGTTGTAATGAAATCTTTCAGATGCTGGCAAGAAAACGATTGAACAGGAAGTCAGAAGCGATTAGCCAACAGAGAAAGTGAATATTAGTGAAGATCAGCTTATAAATTATAAAGAAAAGTTAACAGAATGAGATTATAGTAGTTTCTTTCCTCATTGAGTGACATGAGAAAGAGATATGAGAAACATGTAATGTGTGGATGAGAACGTGGTTGGAAATCAACCTATGGAAGAACGAAACAGAAACAATCGAACAAAAAACATATTGTTTGAATCAAATGAATAAATAGTAAAATAATAAGTAAATGTGAAGCAAACCTAAGTTCCTCAATGTCTTTGAGGTTATGTAGGGATGGAGGTGAGCTAGGTGGGCCCACGCTACCTGGGCTAGAAGCCCGATGCTGCATGTAGAGCGGATTCAGCATAATATCAATTTAGACGTTTGTGATTAGGTAATCATCAGCATAAGCTGAGAAATAAAAATATGAATTAGAAGATGAATAACTGATTCGAAACAGTCTGAGGACGTTCTAATAGCATGCTATTCTCAATAAACTGTTCGTCACGAATGGCCTGTTTATCATGTCATTCACGAATATTTTTTGTCAGTCTGTTGTTTATTCGTGATGACGTCTATAAGATTTAATAATAAATCTTCGGCCACCTAGAACAGAAACACGAGCAACTTCGTAAATACTAGTAAAAACACTATGAAGCTTATGTTGGAATAGGAAAATCCAGAAGTAGCTGGATGGCCCCTGGCAGAGTCAGTTCCAGCCCCACAAGGGCTTTCAGAAGCATGAAGGCGTGGCTTACCACCGCATGGGCGGAGAATTCTGGGTTTCAGACCTACGACCTCTGTCCCAAGAGGTTATGAAACAAGAAAGAAAAGAAGAGCAGAAAAGCTCAAGTAGAAAAGAAGTAAAAATATGACAAAAAATGTTTCTCACTTAGAAATGAAAAAAAGAGTAATCAGAAAGTTCAGATAGTGAGAGGGAGAGGGAGAGGGAGAAGGAGAGGAGAATGATACAAAGAGACGGAGAGGCGTAAGCGTTGGGGGATGAAAATAATTTCATTTTTTTCCTGTCTCACAAAAAAAAGGAAGTTTTTTTCTCAAATAATGAATAGAGGAAACTCCAATCCTTATGAGAGAAAGGGGACAAGAGAGAGAGAGAGAGAGAGAGAGAGAGAGAGAGAGAGAGAGAGAGAGAAAGACTAACAGAGCTCTACTCTTCCACTTCAAGATCAATTTAATCCGTCAGTGTTCTAGACAGTTATTGATTTACAAGAGAAAAAGACATCTACAACTCAACATAAAAAAAAGTTTGAAAACATAAACAACAGTGTCATAAACTAACTTGATGAAATTAAGAAACTGTTTAACTTGGTCAGTTTCATCGGATGGCAAATGATTCCAACCAGCAGAATCAGCTCCTTCCGATATTTCCGGAATAATTTTTAATTTAGGATTAATTGCATTACTGTTTGGTAGAACAGCAGCTGCTGATGTCAAAAATTGATGCAAAAGATTATCGGTGTTATTAGATGCTAATATAGGCTTACGTCGTTGGTTCATTCAGAGAATGTTCTGTTAGTATGAACTGTTTATTTTGAAAAAATCTTTTTAAAACAGCTTCTCAGAAATCAACCAACCAACGCTTCGGGAGCTGCAACCCCTCATGATGCAGATGTGCTCAGATATTTAACACACACAAAAAATGTATTGATTCAATTGAAAATATATTTATATTCTATTCTCGAAACTCTGTAATCATTTCTCATCAACCCATATACATATTTGGATACACATACAATCTGTGAAACATACCGAACCATACGAGCAGTAAATTTAACTCGTGCAAACATGGTTTCCGCTGAAAAAAATTTTCCACACATTTTGGGGATTTTAAAAAATAAAAGAGAGCAACAACAGTAAATCAAATTAATAAGAAGAAGAAGTAAATAAAAAACACAATTTCTTTTTTTGTTTTTCCAAAAAAAAATTTTTTTTTGTTCACAACCTAGCTGAGATAGACTGCCTGAAGGAGAGAGAATGAGAGAAAAAACGGAAATAAAGAGAAAGACAGACAGAAGCTTCGTAAGAGAGGAACAGAAATAATTAAATGAGATAATTACCTCTGAACTCTCTAACTTATACACTTACAAAAAAGAAATATGATCGAAGAAGAAATATTTGCAGACAGCTTGTGGATTGATAAGTCGCCAGCACCAAAAAAAAAATTTGCGACTCTGAGTTCTTTTTTCATTTTTGGACCACGAAACGAGATGGAGCAAATTAGATTTAAGCTCCATCGTACTTTGTGAGGAGTGTGTGAGATATGTCAAAGAAGAAGTTAGAAGCGACAGTCTTCATGCTAAATAATATTAAATACTGAAGTTAAAAATCAATTTTGCAAGATTTAATGAAGAAGTTTGGCCGGAAAATGTTTTTTACTGAAAAGATGTGAGCTGCAAACCACTTCTGATTAGTATGTGATGACCAGCCGAATCAACTGAGATGGTCATCAGTTGAATAGAAAAGACATCTAATGATATCCTCATTTTGATTTTTTCTTTGACTATCTCTAATTAACATATAAAATAATAATTACAAGCAGCAAAAATGAACGCGTAGAGAAGAGCATAAAGGGAATGAAATGAAAAGCAAGCAAGCTTCTCATAATGGACCATTGGAAATACAAAATTCATTTAATCTGCTCGTTAAATGTTGTTTCTTCACATCTCCTTTGAAATTTAAATTTCTTTTTTTTTTTGTTACAACAATTATTCACAAAAATAAAGTTCAAATATATAACAGAATAATTGAAAAAGGAAAACAACAGCTTGTGGCCATTCTCTTACTTAAAGAATGTAAAAAGCCGGAAATGCTTTTCAAACATTTTAAAGCGAAATAAGACATTCAGACTGACCTCTGTTGAGAACTCGCAGAACGTGTCGTATGCATAGATGATGGATTTTTCACTGAATATACTGATTCGTGGATGTTTCGTGGTAATGGACTGAAAAGAGATGAGATAAGCAAATGAAAACATTATAATAAAGCCATTTCATTTTTAATATTCATCTACGAACCCCCCTGTTTCGTATGCTTTCTTTCCTTTCTCCCGCTTTTTTTTTATTTTCTTTCATTCAATTTGAACGATTCTAATGCTGTGTCTCAGTTCAAGTATACTCGGAAACAGATGCAGATGAAACAAAAAATTATTTTTTTCTTTTTGTTTTGAAAATGAATTAATACGACTACTCAACCGCCTTGCTGCAATTAAAAATGAAAATGAGAAGTGCATGAGCGTCACGTAAAGATTCACGTAACACGCAAAGACGCATTTTACGGAATCACGTGAAAGCTCATTTGAATATGAATGAGATGATCAGTGTATATTCATGAGAAAAAAACAAGAAAGAAAAATTTCTTTCGTTTACAGCTTTCGTCAATCACAACGATCGTACAAAGAGATTGAGAGGTACAGATTTGAAGGGGAAATAGACAGAGAGAGAGAGACAGATTGTGAGGTAGCTTGTGGTCATTTAATAACCGTGGAAATATCTTTTCGTAAGAAATTTGCATTTTTAGTTATGTACATAGTACATGGATCATAATAACAAGTAAGGATAGTTACATATAAACTTATATAAATAAATATATAATGTGATCAATAATACAACGAAAATCGGAAAAATTTTAAAAAAGTTGTAATTGATTCGAATATTTCAATCCAAAATGCATTAATGTTCTTGTTTCCATTAAGATAATTTGAAGAGACGAAGAGTAACAAGAACTAAGTAAAGAAAAAAAGAAATTGAGAGAGAGGAAAGCATGGATGAGGAGAGAAAACGTGCCATCTAGAACTGAACGCATTCTGTTTAGATTTTTCTTTCATTTTTTTTGTTCTAACTTCTAACGGATAACAATATGATGGTTATGTTGTGTTGACGTACCTGAATCGTATGTTGTGAATTGGATAAGAAGTTGAATATGGTTGAAAGATGGTTTTTCTCATTTTTGAATTGGCTGATTTGAGTGGAAAGAAATAATTTTTTTGTTCCTCCTAGCATATAATGCAAAAAAACAAAAATGAAGGAAGAAGAAAACGAAGAGAAAAAGATTCTTAAATCTGTATCTTGAAGTACCTCAACTCATTAGTGAAAATATATACGTCTTTGAGTTCAGAAAAAAAGAATAAGAGGAATGCCGCTTAGTTACAGAGTAAGACAAAGACAGACGGAGTTAGAGAGACGAGCAGATACGGAAGAATATTGTAATACGTATGTATATGAAAGCAAGAGTTTGCATGCACGATGTACAAATTTTTCGTAATTAAAGAAAATCGAATTTTGAAAAAGATCAATTGTAATAGGTAGAGGAGAGGTAGTAGAGACGAAATGAAATATGCGAATGGGAAACGCAAATATTAAAAGTTATCCGTAAGTTCATGGAAAGAACTAATATCTCTATATGGAACATGGAAATTCAAGAAGCTATGGGTGAGCAATCGAAGTTCCTTTTTTTCGCTCAACAATCACTATGCTATTGAATGTGTAGTTTGGAGAAAATGCACGAAAATAAACGTACGGTGGAACAGGTGGAACGTATGTTCCCATGAATGGATGATAAGCATTCCTATTTGGTGGTTGAGTTGAGACGCGTCCCGATTTCATTATTGTCTATCTGAACTGTAAAATCAAATGGAGTTGATGAGAAATGAGGAAGTATTGCTTACTTTCACTAGCCCGGTGACTTTTGTATTGAAATCATGTTCTGCACTATTGACGATGAAGGTTGTAGCTTATTATGTAAGCTGAGGATATGTGAGCTGCTCAATGAAATCAATTAACAGACATACAACACATACATATAAGATGAAAACGAATATAGAATTAGAATTAAAAAAAATGGTATAAAGTCTTAGGAAAAGTATATTTCGAACACAAACACTTCCGTCCAGCATCAGATTGCACACTGAATTTCATTTTTTTTTCCCAGAGTCAACTTGTCATTTCTCAACAAAATCTTTTGAGATGTGTCAGTGACCGGATTTTGGTGACAAATTGGTTGTTTATTGATAATCGTCAGAAAATGTTTCTTTTCAACTAAGGGTTTGTGAGTGGGTTTAAGTAGGAGCTTAAAAGTCAGGAAAAAAGGCTTCAAACTGAAGCCCTCTCTTGAAAACTGTGAGAACGAAGTTCAACCCAATCAGGTATTTTGAAATTTCTCATTCAGCAGTTGAGGTTGACATGGGTGACACTAGAATGTCTTCAATTTTTGTTCTTTTTTTGGACAGCTGTGGGGTTAAAAGAGATCGAGAGTTCGACTCATACATGGAAAGTGACTACTCCCATAGGAGTATAAGGATTCGAACGATAGCTCGTCCGTCTCAAGTAAATAATGTGTCCCCTTGTCGGTCAGTTAGAAAAGAAAAGTTTGAGAAGAACGGACCATATCCATCGTTTGTTTTGTGGTATACTTGTGTTTGAAAAAAAATTGTAAATTTTGACTTTTTTTCATGAGAGCTATCCTTTCTGAATTTTTTTGCCTCTCAGTCGTTTGGTCGTAAGACATCGATATCAGAATGCTGACGCTAACGCAAGAAAGATATTGTAGCATATTGTGAAAGAGGAACCGAAGCAAAAAAGAAAAAGTAGCAAAGAAAGAGTTGTTGTCAGAAATATATTTGGCGTTGTCTGCTTTCCTTTTTTAACTTAACGAATTAAAAATTAAAAAGATGCATATCAGCAACGAAAACGAAAACAAATGCATTATGATGATGATGATGATTTTTTGACTCTGTAATTGAGACAACAAAAAAAATTCTATTAAAACGTTTTTTTTAAATAGATGAGATGAATGAGAGACGAAAAAACGATGGAAACAGCCAACAGGCAAATGAAACGAAAATAAGCTGAGAGAAGGAATATCGAAGACCTCAAGTCAGTACTACTGGCTTAAACAGAAGAGTCAGAAAGTTGCTGGGGAATCTCTGTTTCTCAGTCATTTTAGTATTGTCTGAACTGGAAATCAGTTATGGGTCTCGAAACGAGGAAGATAAATGACCAATTAGATGCGTGTTCGTCCGTCACGTCGCCTCAGTTTAGAAAAGCTGAACTGGGACCATTGAAGATGCTTCTGATATCTTTACTGCAATCTTGCCATATTGAGTAGTAGACAATGCTCGATACATTTGTCTTCTGAATTTAAAACAGATAACATGCGAATGTCGCACATTATGTATAAAATTGCTTTTTTTACTTTTTTTTCTCTTCCACATTTCACAACAGAAATGACATTTTTCAGTTTAAAATGTGAAGAAAGGTTCGAACGATCGGCTTGATGAGAGAGTTTCATCGGATGAACATTTCAGACAGTCAGCGTTGTTGGGGGATGTGTGAAGCTATAGGTCGGCGAAGATCCAAAAGAAGTCTGAGCAGGTGGAAGGTTCCTGAATTTTCATCTTGTTGTTCCTCGCGGATACAGACAAGGAGAATAAAACATCGTTCTAGATATCCATCGAGACATAAATAGATTACGAGATGCAGAGCGAGCTAGAGCAGGACCTACTGCGATTGCTGTCGGATTGAAAAAAAATAGTCTGATATTTTGAAATTCAGAAGTTCATACGAGAACAGAAAATGTATTGAGATTATTGAAATTGTTGATGTATGAATGAAAATGGTGAAAGCGGAATAGAAACGATCAAATTACTTGGGAACCACCTGAGAGAGATGATGACTATGACCATATGAGAACAAATGAAGTATAAATGAGGAAACGAAAGCAGAAACACTCAGGGGGAGAAAAGGAGAATAGGAGGAGTTGAACGAGGAAAAAGAAAAGAATAAGTATGAAAAGCACATCTGAGTGACAATCGGATGAGAAATAGCTTGTCCTCCAGCCTTCACATCAACCTCATCTTCAGATAGTTGAAAGATGTAAAAGTTGAAAACAAAAAGATGAACCTAATAGACACGAAAAAAATACAGAAAAAGCTCACAAGCTCAACTCTGATGAAGCTTGGAAAGGAAAGCAGGAGGGAGAAAAAACAAAAAATCAATGAGAGTGGGGATTTCAGAAGTAAACCTACTGTTCATTTTTAAAACAAAGTTTTGGTTGCCTCATAGAAAGCTTCAAACATACTAACGGTTACGAAGGAAGAAAAGTGTTGTTGGGTTGGAAAAGAAAAGAAAACTGAATATGGGCAATGAAGGTAGACGTGGACATTACCGAAGAAAAAGATTGAGAGCAGGTGTGAGAGAAAGAGGGAGAGAGAAGGAGAGATTGTGTGTAAAAGACTCTCTATTCTCTTCCATTTCTTTCTTAGGTTGGCACCTTGTCTTGCTCCGAGACTACTTGCTGAGAAGACTGGTTAAGGTGGAAAATGATGAAGAAGTATGGAGAACAAAATTCATGAAAGGCTTGTCCACGGAAAGAGAGAAAGAGAAGAAAATAGGGAAAGAATGGAGTTTCTGAAGGGAGGTCTCTGGCTAAATGAAGAGTTCCTGACAACTCCCGTTTAGCTAAAGGAGAAGCTTGATGCTGTCTACAAAGAGGCATATTGTACGGTTGCTCAAAATTTGCATAATTACTCCTCATTATAGTTTGTCTGGAGTCTCTCCTGGCTGATGATAGAATGAAGAACTACCTCAACGGTAATTGCCGGAATAGAAAGGTATAAAGAGAGGCTGAGCGAGCAGGAGAACATGAGAGAGCTCCCAGAAAGCGATGCAATTCTGTGTGCCTGAGGCAAGTATTGTGTCATCATAACTATTTGATGAAAGAAATTTTTTGTTTTGTTTTTTTCCTATTTACTATAATTCTCATCGTTTCGCAGGTTCACTCCTGTGAATGAGATATGAAGCACAAGTTTTCAATTTTATTTTTTTTGGGAAATAATTGTGTTTGACATTTGAACATGCTAAAAACGTTCTTCCTATTACTTCAATGTAATATTCATTTCACAGTTTGAGGAAGATGGGAGGGAACGAAGCCCACCATTTGAATTCATCTTTTCATATTTGAAATAATGCAAAAACGTAATGAGAACGCAATAAAGAGTTGAAGCTTTATGTTGGTCATAAATCACTTTCAGAACTTGTTGGCTTTAAGGTATGAGAGCTTGTCAACCGATGGTAACCATATTCAAAATAATATTATGCATCAACTGAAAGTTTTCACGACCATCAAACTTCATCTATTGATACACACACACATCACACATATGTACATCGTATATCGCACGAGTCTCATCTACACGTTATCCACGTAACATTCACGGCGTCATGCTAGCCGTGAGAACGTCAACTTCTTCATTCGTTGTTTAAGCAGGTTGACAGAGCGGTTGCATTCATTGGTTTTTTTCTCTTTTTTTCGCTGTTGTTTTGCATATTTTCATTCTTTTTGTTTTTGTTTCAAGGATGTTAATAAACTAAAATATATTTGTTCACATAAAGTTACACCTGAAGTTATTTTTGAGTAAATTATTTTCTTTCTCTCCGGACAGACCAAAAAAATATTATTTTGTCTCCAAAAGCAGTGAGAGAGAGAGAGAGAAAGTCAGATTGAGACGAAGAATGAGCTGAACATGAACGCTCCCCTGACATTATGGAGGTTTCAGCAGCTCAAGTGTAATGAAGTCAAAAAGAAAATGTTCCGAAATTGTTTTTTTTTTCGTTTGTGCTTCTTCTTTGTTGCCTCATCTTCATGTCAAATATGATTTGTTCCTAATGAGTTTACGGAAGCTCGGATACTCCACCGGCTGCTTTTCAGTTCATGCAAATCTCTAGAAGAAAATTTTTCTTTTTAAACGTTTTTCTTGCAAAGAGGTTTTTCAAACGAAAACTTCAGCAGTAAGCTAGCTGACGAGAGCATAACGGTGATTTGTGCACTTTATTTGAATGACAATGAGTAAGAAAAGCTGGCAATTATAGATTTATGTAGGTACTTATCCGAATCCCCTCCTGCTTCACACCTTCCAACCATCAACTGACAATGACTTTTTAAGGAATTTTTTCTTCCGTTTTTTGTCTTCTTTTTTGCAGCTTTCAGTTCAAGAAGTAGCAACGGTTGAAAGAGATAGAGAGAGAGAGAGAGAGAGAGAGAGAGAGAGAGAGAGAGAGAGAGAGAGAGAGGGGGAGAGAGAGTGTTGAGAGAAAAGCAAGGTTAGCGAAGGAAAAAGAGAGTGTGAGTAAAATAAAAACATAAAATTCAAATTTTTCATCTCCAAAAGCATTCTGGATGTCATGTTTATATCGTTCGAAGCCTTTTTTTATTGTTGTTGTTGTTGTTGTTGATAGGAAAAACAAAAATATTAAATATTTTATAAACAAGTAACTGATTTCTTATATTAACCAGCTCATATGGAAAAAAAGGGAATATAAGAATGAAAAGAAATAAAAATAATATATATATGTACCCGATGTAGAGGAAGAAGAAGACGAAGAAGAAGGAGAAGAAGAAAAAAACACAAAATGAATGAAGAAAGTGCTAGGTGATAGGATAAAACTCTTCGTTGTTCATGTGTAGGACTGACTGACTATGTGGGAATCACAGATATACTGGAATGTGGAAGGCAAGTTTTAGCCTAAATAACCGTTTAAATTTATAAAACTATTTTCATTTTTTGAGATTTTTCTTCTTCGAGAAACCCGAGTAATGGAGAGACGGTAAGATGAAGGGAGTATACAGCTAATAGATGTTTGAATGAGAATGAAAGCAAGGATAGATGAATTACTATGAAAATAGTTAAGTTGAATATCCATTGAAAGCTATTGGCACTTTGATAAAGCTTAATCCACAGTGCTAACAGAATCATCTTCAAAGACTTCTTCACAAGCTAAGCTAACATGTGGTTCATCGTCTGGTGTTAACGTTGTTGAACTATAAGTGACAGAAATGGTTTTTGGATGAAACGAGTAATTTCAAAACTCACTATACATCCGTTGTTTCAGACTGTGGTCTTATACATCGATGCGGAAGTTGTAATCTATTAATTTCCGACGAAGTATGAGTATCTGAACCGGGAATATGGCAATTATTAGATTCAATCATGCCAGTTGATAAATCCGGAGAGACGGAGCTGGAAACGGCAGAAACCGTACGAAAACGAGTACCACGTCTGCAAATGGCATGTTGAAATGAGAAAGGAAATTAGTGGCGAAAACTAAAAATTGAAAAAAGCGGTGGATAGTGGAAAAAAAGTGGAAAGAGGTTCTAGATATTAAAAAGGAAAGTGTAGAAGCAGTAAGCTGTGGTTTGAAACAAGTTGAAAATGGAAGAGAATAACACATGCGGTTTGTGAAATGACTCGTGCCAGGTGGATAATCTTGTGCAACTGAGGCGTATAATCAGTTATGATTACGGCGTGTATGAAATAAACTCAAAAATGAACTAAACTATTGTGATATATGCTAAAAAAAGCTTCCAACAATCATGGAACGAACTTATAATTCAGAGATAGGCGATCACGAAATGAGCTACTATGACGGGGACTCAGCCAATCACTCAGTCCTCCACTGGAACTACTAGACCTGAAGGGGATATAATTCTATTATGATTCATATAATAAAGAGAATTATAGAAAACGTCTGTGTGTTGTTATTATTGCATTCGTTTGTGAAGAATTTCATTTGATAATCGTCACGATCAGAGTTGTAGAATAATTTTTGATGAAGAAGAGGAGATTGCGATAGATGTGTAAGATTTGAGAGAATATGTCTCGCTTTGGTTTTGTTGGTTCAATAGAGTATAACCCGAAGGCTCAGAGGAAGCATAGAAGAGAAGTATGTTTGTAACAAACCTTCGCCTACATTCTGCAACAGCGTTAGCTTTACAATATCCATGAACGGATAAGCCGCAGTCTTTGCATTTCCATCCCTGTCTAATCAATCCCCATAACTGAAATTGTGTCTGTCAAGAAAGAATCGGAAGATAAGCGGAAATATACTAATTTGCCACAATGTCCACATGTGGTTGGTGTAAGAAATGTTGTTTCATAGAAGTCATGCTTAAATCCGCTGCGAAAAGCCATAGAATCCTTATTAGCTTTTATGAAATATGCTTTCAATTCTTCTTTGGATATCTGTCCATCTCTTGAGAGGAAAAAAATGTGGTTTAATAGAGAACAGAAAACATATAAATCATTCTACCTGTCTAAATCAATTGTTCCAAATGGCTCAATGAATGGAAAATTTCCTGATATTTGACGAAATTCAGCTTGACTAATATATCCATCACGATCATGATCATAATGTTTGAAGACCTTTAAAATGAAATGAAATGAGATATTCATATAGAGGGCGCCTCAAACATACAGCATCAACCATAGCAGACACATGTTTATTAACAGTGTCAGGATCAGGGGCAGCAGATACTCCTGATGCCCAATCAGCAAAAACCACAGGACGAGCATTTGACTCAAACTGCAACCGTAAGCAATGCATACAGTCAATCATCATAATGTCAACATACGTTTATGAAGGTTTTTGGTTCTCTACGTTGTGATAACTCATAGATATCTTCTTCCTTATACCGTATATCCAATGATACCTTCAAATAGCATATAATGACGAAAATATTTTAAAATGATGTATCACCTTCAATGTATTGACTAAATCCAAGTTAGCTTCGGGTAAATGATGAGGAATTTGCTTACAAACAAGAAAATTTGATAAAATTTCAGCTAATTGTCGTAATCTTAAAGACAATTCAATTATAAAATGAGAAATCTATGAAAAGCAATTACTTTCGTTTTGATATTGTTTTGGATTTTTCGAAAGTCTGTCCAACGCAATTGGCTGCTATGAGATCTTTCAAATGAACACCTCTGAAAGAGAGAGAGAAATAGATAGATAGATAGATAGATATGGAAGATGAATGAATAAAAAAAACAATTTGAAATATTAAATATATGATGAAGCTTGATGAAAATGAAAATAAACAAACAAACATACACAATAGGAATTTTAAAACTTGATCCTCCGCAACTAGCTAATACTTTACGATATTCTCCAAAATTGTTTTGTACTGACAACAAATTGGTGAAGCTATTCAAATCCTTCAAAACATTATCATTATAATATATTGAATATGATATGCAAATTGAAATACTTTTTTGATATCAGCAGGAAGATATGCATGTGTTTTAGATAATCGAGCTATATTACTATGTGTTACACCACCAATCACGGCCATTAATGTATTAAAGTTAGATAGCCTTCGTAGATGCTGCAAATAAGAGTTTTACACTCAAAGTAAAGAGAAAACGTTGTATCGAATACCTTGCCAACATTCACAAACTTGATTATGATATCAGCTCTCTCTTTCGGATTCAGCTTGCTCAGTATCATACATTGTACCCAATTGGTCAGATTCTTCAATTATAATAAGTTGAATGAACAGAAGAAGTGATAAAAATTTTGAATTACATTGAATATGGATATAGATCTCTCTAGAAGGGGTGTTTGTTGCAAATTTCCTTCTTTTATATACTTCTTGAGCTCATCAATCTATAAAGTACAGGATAATCAATGAAGCTTGTTGCTTATATACCGTAATTCGACTCAAAACCTTATAGTCAATATGACTTAGAGAAGTTGAAATATCTTCTGGACTCCATTGATCAAACGATAACGATACCTGTAATAGTACATCACTTGTTACTATGAAAACTCGAACATTGAAAAACCTGTCTAACAACTCGACATCTCATAGAATGATTCCTCATCCATGCATATGATGGTCTGAAAAAATTATGAAATTGATGAAAAATAAGTAGACGAGAAGAAAAAAGCAACCGATCTTTAAATATTTCATATCGAAAATGACTTTCTTCTATCGCTTGCGTGACACGTCTTTTCCACGTTCACGTCATATGCAAAACAGTGTTAAGCATGATTACAAGTCAAACACACAACAAGCTTTTGAATAACATTCGAAAACATTTTTGAAAGATCAAGAAAACGATGAAAGTCATCAGAAAGGTTGATAGTTAATTGATTTTGAAATATTACATTAATACGATTGCGAAAAGCATTAGAATACCAAACTTACAAGTTGCTAACATCTAACGAGTTCCGTATCGAATCTGGCACTTCTTCGGCTATGGTTCTTAGACGAACAACAAATGCACACAGTTGTGGTTGTCCATCAAAATGCATTGGAAATTGACGAATCCACGTAGCAACGGCTTTACATACCCGTATACGTTCTTCAGTGTCTCGTGAATCCTTAACAGAACATAATGAAAAAATGATGTGACTGTGAGTGTGGGAGTATTGCATCCAAAACAAACCTGGAAATGAGTTAAGAAGTGGCTAAGTAACTGTGAACTGTCCATAATCCATCTATGAGCAAGAAACAAACAGTAAGGAATGTCATCCCAATTCTTTTCTTTGTTTGAGCTCTCTGAAACAGAAAAAATCATTATTTCAATCTGCTCAACTAAGTCTCATGAGGCTGAACTGACAACTTCTTCATTTCAAACGAAACTTCGAAATGGAAAGCTTGCTCCATCCTTTTCGAATTGGCCAACATTTTTTTGCGTTGAATTATAAAAAGGTTGATGATGATGATGAAACATCATAAAAAAACATAGGAAACGGCCATCAATTTTGATAAACTTTATAAATGTTCCATGCGGCTATTTGCATATCATCGATTCAAAAACAAATCGATGTACATAAAGAGTTTGGAATCAATATCTTTTTATGTATTTCATTTGAAAATGATACAATTTGTCATAAGTTTCAATACATATTTCATGCTTTTCAAGAATGAATGACTGCACAATGAGTAAAATGGACAAACGTACCGCCAAAACAGATTACGGCATGCGCTACTAGCTGAGGAGCTGTTAACGGCTGATCCCGCAATGAACCCATATGTGGAGCTCCAGCTTCTCCCTGTCAATCTGTCCCGGAATCTGCTGGGCAGCTTTCCGGCTCCGACTAACAGTCGGCCTTCTAGCTCTCTGTTCTCTGAGGCTAGACTGGAGTTGTTGGCTGAAACGTAGTCAGTGCCCGCCCGCTTGGCTAGCTGGCTGGTAGGCTGGCTGGCAGTCAATGCCCAGAGGATTGCGACAAACGGAGACAGACTTCAGCTTGCTCTTCTAGACTACTCGAGGATGTTCTACAGCAGAACAGTAAGTTTAGAAGAATTTTGCTAACTGTTTCTCGGCAGCTTAACCGGAAAGGCTACAGCACATAGTCCAAAATCGATACGTGCCTGGAGGCATGGAAAAGAAGCGCGCGGCAGGATCGATGGCAAACCACGCCCTCTTTTGGCACTAGGCCAAAGCTAGCCCGCAGCTTCATCATCATAAGCTCAGTTATGCAGCAGAAACGGACTTTCCGCGATGAAGCCATGTAAAGCTGCAAGCATAAATTGACAGAGCCAAAAATAAGCAAGTAAAAATTTATTCTCTCATTATAAATTGATATTACGTGAAACTAACTGCACCATCATTGTGAATAAAATTATATACATCATCTACTATGACATGACTATATTAACCGAAGCATTATTATTATTATGAAAAAATTTGAACCCTAATTATAAATACATACAAAAGACTAGTGATATTTTACATCAAATGTTGGAAAATTTGATTAGAACAGGCGTTTGAAAGGCTTTTCCCAAGCAAGTTAAAGCAAGAACGCGCAGAACGAGAGGCTTGTTATCAGCAACAACGATACACGGAAAAGTTACCGAAAACGGAAGCTAGACGATACATAGCGTGGCACAGCTGTGTACATAGCGTATTCGAAAACAACCGAAATTCGAAAAAAAAAAGATTTGGGAAAGACAAAAGCCTTTCTATCCCCTGAGCCAAGTCATAATTCGTTTACTTGCAGTTAATGGACCTTCAGATCCACGGATAAAATTACTAACACGCTCAAGTGTTAAAGAGTTATAGCGTTCCTCATCTTCTCTTCTGTAATCAATGATTAGTTATCATAAGCTAAAAATCAGAATCTCACAATTGGACTTCTGTTGCGAAAAGCATCTTCATGAGGTCTTCTTTCCTATCTATGGCTTCTAAATAGGACTTCATAACACGATCTGTTCTTTCCTTCTCGTCAATAGGCTTGTAATAATCTAAAAAAATCTCTGTTTACATCGTCGCGAATCTCAGAAAATCACCTTCGTCGTCAGCAGTATTTTTTGTAATTTCCACTAGTTCACTATTCAGTTTCTCAATATCTTTTGTTACTTGCCTGTAATGATAAAAGCTCAGTCAGATTTCTGATTTCTACACTTACCTAATGTTTTCTATAATATTAAAGTACTCCTGTTGACCGACTAAAGAATTTTTCTCCTCAGTTAGTCGAAGATATGTTTCCAATAACATTTCTTCTTCTAAACTTCCTTTCTCTAGAACGTACTCTCGTTAAACAAAACAAACTTTGCAAGAATCAAAAAAACAGAAAATTTGAAAAAAAAAATTACCTGTTTCTCTAATTTTGTTTTGAATAGCATCAGCCTGCTGTGTTATATCAGCTAATCTAGATGTAATGTCTTCTTGTTTTCTCTGACACCCTTCTTGATCCTCTACATCTCTCTTAAAATAGAACTCCAATGGAAAAGAAAACTTGTGCTAATTACCTCCCACTGCAACTTGTCTATTTTTTTTGTAGGTGTAGCATGTTCATTTAATGATTGCTGCGACCCTCTTAGAGGATCTTGTATCTAAACATGATTTTTGAAAATAACTGGTGCTCAATAATGAAACATAGGTCCGTTATAGTTGCATGTTACACTCTAGTAATCTATCAAAAACTAATGAGGCGAACACATTTCAAACATTAGAATTACAAATGATACATAACCACACAACTTACTCCATAGCTTTTAGCAATAGTCGAAATGCTATCACGAAGTTCTTGTCCTCGCATGCTCCCGTAACGTTTCACGCGGTCAAAAGCGGTTTCTCCGGCTCCGACACTTTGCTACAACCACAACGAATACACAACACAGAAAAAAAGCATACAAAAAAGATTAGGAAGCAAACGACAAAACAAAGGAGAAGAAAAAAACGTTGATTTACCTTTATCCTATCACTCAACATTTGAGTCGGTCGTCCCATCGCCGGAATAATTGGACTGTCAAACTCATCTGAAAATAAAAATTAGATTGTATCTTCGTAACCCTAGCATGCACAAAGGCAACACCACAAAACCGATTATTACATTGTTTTCTCTGTAAGACGGGTGAAGGATCCCTCTTTTTGAACGATTGGATAGTAACAGAGGGTCGAACTAATTCTAAACACACAGCACTACACATCAGATATACACTACACAATACCAATTTTCCGTAAATCAGTAGCAGAACCGCCTAATGAAGTTCTTGAACGAGTAGATCCGGAACGAGTCAAATTAGATCTCACTGCACCAGAACATAAAAACGTAAACGATATTCAACATATCAGACATGCATGAAAGAGTTGAAGCTCGAAACTTACTGCTAGCTGTTACCGGGGTGCTCACTGCAGTCTGAATCAAACGCCTCGCTTCTTCTCGCCTCTTATCATTATCCGGATTCTGAAATATAATATACTATAATACAGACTCGAAGTGATGTTACCGTTGTTTCTGTGACGCTTTGCATAGGGTTTTCAAGCATCTGTTTGGCTTTTAACCTTAGCTGTTCCTGCTTTGATGGACTGATTGAACGACCCTGAAAAAAAAGAAATTAAAAAAAACTTTAAAAATAGAATACCGAAGTGCGAATGCTAGATAGACGAGGAGTAGACAAACTGAAAGTGGGCAAATCTTGCTCGAGTTTACCATCCGTTTCAGCGTTTTCGTCAGCACTTTGGGAATCTTCTGCTTCCTTCTGGTTCATCTGAAAAAAGAAGATTGAATTAACAAAATTATAGTATAGTATGTTACCACTTTATCAACCATTTCATCTTCGTTAGCTTCTCTTCTCTCCTTCATCCTGCGAATTTCATCTATCACTTTCATCTCTGATTCAGAAACAGGGAACAGTTGAGATATTCTATGATCAGACACTGCTGTAGTAGGCGCAGACAGTTCGCCGATTCCTTCAAATGTCCTTCTCATTCTGAAGACATGATTCATGATTTCAAATACCTTCATACTTATATTAGACTCACCTATCAAGCAAAGCATTTATAATTTTTTTATCTGGGGTAAGTATGTAGCTTTCGTCGGGAATGTCATTCAGACCGATCAGTTGAGCAGCAGCTAATGCCTTCAACGATATGTAGCATTGAGGAAACTACCGTCAAAAAATAAAAAATACCTTTTTAACATTATTTTTTCTACACGGCAAAGAGTCAGAGAAGTCCAACCTATCATAGTCTATGAGATCAGGGCGATAAGCATGAATAATAGCACATAACGCTAGACCATTCTGCCAGCATTTTCTACAATGTTGTAACTGATATAAACAAAGTGAAGAGATAAGCTTACGCGGAATCATTGAGCTTAACATTATAATACCCTGCTGCTATACGCTTAGCCCAAGCTTGTAATGACTCTCCTTCAACCTTCTCCAACTTTCGTTCACGTGAAGGAGCTCGAGGAGAGTGAGACCGACTAGAGTTATTTATCAATTAACATTGATGTAAAAACCGACATACTTTCTTGGTGGAGCTAAAGGCTCTGGGACGAGTGCTGTCTTCTCTTTTTCAGGAACAAAAACTGGTTGACTTTTTTCATTGACCTTAAGCAAAAAATATGAAATAGAAAGAACCCTCCTTAAATTACTTTAAAAACAACTTGAGTGGATACCTTAGCAGGTTCTTGAACTGTCACTTCTTTAGCAGCTCCATTAGGAATACGCCAAGGTGGTCTTTCCTTGCTTACTGAAACTATGAGATAAACTAAAAGTCTGTTAAGAACTTGTTACTTTCTGATGGATGAGTTATATGTTCTTCCACAGGTGGCAAAACATCAACAGTATTATCACTCCAGTGCTTAATACTTTCGGTAACAGCTGCTATCTGTTGTCCAGCTGATAGTAAAGCTAATAAACAAAAGTTTCAGAAAAGTGCTAATATACAAACATACCTGTATCTTTTTGCTCATTGCAACCATCGCTGACACTAATTTCTCTTGAATTCCTTTCCGTCTGGGATACGGAAGAAGCCCGACTGATATCATCTCTGCTAAAAAAATCGTACTTGTGTTATTTTCCCATAAAATAACTAACAATCCTTCTTTAACCAAATTACTGCTCAAGACGATTTCCAATGAGCAATACGTGAGATGAACACACAAGGGGCGTAACTTAAGTTTCAACTGAGTTCTTTGATCAGGAGATTCCATCACGAAAAGACGAATATTTAAGGAAACAGCAGCAATAGGCCGACGTTTCCCTTTTTTGTTTATTTCTTCCACCACAATAGTCCATTCCTACAAATTATTTTAATGTTGGAAATTCAATTCTGAATACTTTGTCATCGAAAGCATCCTCAGAAGCAGATTTATAGAGTGTTGTTAATATATCAACGTGTTCGGGGGCTTGCTCTGGCCATATAATTACGCTTTGTTCAGGTTTGCTTAATGATGCCTCCCATTGTCGTTCACGAGAAGTAATTTTCCTCCGCCTGAAATCGTAATTTGAACAGTTAAATTAAAAATATTGCATTGATGCAACCGCTTTCGCAGGCTGATGTGCGGAAATGAATGACAGGCGAACGAGGTTGCACGTGAACTTTCACGTAAAAAGCGAAAGCATAGATTACCTGTGCATAAAAGAAACCAGGACGGTTTCAGGCGCGTGCGATTCATCATCAACGGCTAAACGAAGTTCTTGTAAAGCAGCAGTAAAGCGATATTTAGCTGCTTTCTTATTTGTTCGCCGCAATCGCCTTACTATACCCGACATTACAATTGCATATTGTGAATGATGACGTTCATGACTGAAGAAGTTTTAAAAATTTCCAAGTTATAATGTAACAGCTTAAGAATAAAAAAGAATTGTGAAAGAGTTAAAAACAGAGACTGGAAGGAACAGCAGTCATTAGTTAATCAATAAATAGAGTTAATTGGAGAACAAGGCTTTTCATCAGTTCCCGATCCACACATTTGAAACATATTCTTATCATATGTTGAATCATGATATAATTATACGACAAGAAATTAACATAAAGTTACAAAATCCCGGTTTCTATAATTAGGGTGGGGCTTGGACGTGTTCCGTTCGGGACCTTTTTCGCCGTAGAGCATCAAACCGAAAACAAGGTTCGGTTACGACAAGCCTCCACGAGAATGGGCGTGTATCAAATTTAGAGCTTTTATGGAAACGTAAGTACCTATATCGCCTTAAGACCATTAAAAGTGAGATTTCTTTCCGATGTATGCTGGATATTATTCGAAAACTCTCGAGTTTCAGCTTGTGTTTTGATATCAACACACGGGAGAGCGAGTGTTTTGAGTTGCAGAGAAATTTCAAATTCAAAGAACTTAGTGTAGAACTTGTATTATTTTTATAACGATTGTATACCGAAAAATAAATGAAACGTTGCAAAAAACTGAAAATTCTCGCGAAATTCTCCATCAGAAGATGTGTCATCAACTTGACTACATAAGTTTCGGAAGAACTTTCGAAGAAATTTTGAAAAACTCCCTTGAATACAGCTCACTCTTCGTTTTTCTCTTCTGTTAGACATTTTGTATCATATAAGCTTCAAGTTGCACGATATAAATGTATTCCAAGAGAGAAAACAAAGAAAAATTTGAAATTATTCAAATTACATGTTGAATAGGAGAGATGCAACTTCGGAAAACCGAAGACTCAGTTCTATTAGAAAGTTCGACTTCTGGCGAAGAAATTAAAGCAGTTAAAGCATATGTTGATAAAAGGTCTCTATCATTAGCTTAAAGGGTCTATTATGGAAGGTCCTGCCACGAAAATCTTTAACCTCTATGCCCACTCTATGTTTTTCGAACTTCGTTGTTTTTCATGAAAATATATGCACATCAATGCGAATGTATTTGTTTCTATTAAACGTTCACTCACTTGAGGGATAAACATATAGACCTTATGGGGTAGACTCTATCCTCCCGTTAACACTATTAACTTGTATGACTCACTACCTTATCAATTAACACTGATATTACCAACTCTATCTTAACGTCTCGGAAAACGAACGAACAAATTTTGGATGAACATTTCTGAAAACCTTATGCATTATGCTTTCCAACTTCACATTCCACTTCTCAATTCTAGGAAATATCTCTCACTAGTTCATTTGGTGGACAGACCTAGACCACCCAAACGTACGAAATTCCTAAAATATAAAACGAGAGATCCGGTCGTTCATCAAAACCCAAAAAAAAGTATCATTTCACTGAAACTGATTAATATGTTGTTGAATAAGAAAATTATTTTTTCAAAACAAAAAACCATTCAATCAAATGGCCTTAGCACGAATTAAGTACGAATGTTTTCATGAGCGTTTCGGGACTAATAACCACACCCAGTTCGGGGAAACATGCTTGTTGAGATTTAATTCTTTTTAGTTTTCCAGATTTCATTTTGAACTTCTGGACAGAAGTTTTTTCATGCGACTACATAGTTTCGTTTTCGTGCTTTTATGCATTTCGTCGGGGTTCGTTCAAGCTACCCGCAATTATCGCTCTGCCAAAATAGCCTATGTTTATAACAAAGCCTCTCACCACATTGCCGATAAGACAAGGTTAGACAAATTGGAAGTAAGTCAGTTCCTTTTGCCCTTCTTATTTTTAACATTTTTTTTGAAAAATGACGTGTTTTCCTTTGTTTTGAGATTGAGAATCTTTGATTACAGGATGAACTTGCTAAATTTGATGATTTATACATGGAAATGAAAGATAAGACTCATACCGGAAAAGGAGGAGAAAAAGATTCGGAGCTTATTGATGAAAAGCTGATGCGTCTGCTCGAGCGTCATGACCTCCATATTACAAGTTCCACTTTCCGTGAGGTACTACTTGTCTCTATTGCTATGGGTTATGCACTGCTGACAACCGTGATAAAAAAAAGAAACTTAAATGGAATTTTCAGAAAATAAAACATTTGAATCTTTATCAGCGCCAGCTGGAAGATGTCTTGACGAAAACCTTTGAAGACAAAGACGCCAATAAGATTTGGACGACAATAGCTGAATCTGATGTGTCAGAGGCCTATAAGCTAGGTTGGTATTCTTTATTCATTCAAATTTTTCAAAGAACTCATCTTATTTATGTTTTTGCAGACATCTACGATAGATTGGAGAAATTAGAGAGAAAGTTGACTCAATTACAAAATGATAGAGAAACTCTGAATGACGTAAGGTCTGAGTAACAATACTCGAAACTTCATCATTTTCCAGGAACATCATGAGAATTCCATTCATCTGAATGAAGACGTTGATAAGAAAGTAGGAAATCGTTTTTTCTTTTATTTTTTTGTCTCTTTTTTCAGAGAAAAGCAACCGATCAACAAATTACTGATGTTCGAAATGAAATCAAACACATTCGCGATGAGATCAAAATAGAAATAGAAAGCCCTTTCGAAGATGAACACATTCGAAGTTTGTGGCGAAAAGTATTTCTCACTTAGATGCTCTCTATTGCAATATCCGTTTTGCAGACACTCTTGGAGAGACAGCTATCAAATAAAGATTTCGATGAAATGAAAAGCCATCTCGAGTATTTTGACCAGAAGTTCAAGAAGAGAGCGTATATCAAAGTTGCACCTATTTCTTCTCCTCATCCTTATCCCTTGATTTGCAGAAAGAGCTTGACGCCTCTCCCGATGGAAAGAAAATGTATGCAGAGGACGACAACCTCAAGTCCAAATATGAAGAATTAGATAGGTGAGTGAGAATTTGTTATTACTATTCCCTTCTTATCTCGATATCTACAGAACTTTTACTAAAGCTCTAACGTATCTGAAAGAGAAGTATAAGCATACGGAACTATAAGAACTCTCTTCTGGCCATATTTATTATTTATGAGAATTTTCAAAGCACTTCTTCATATCTTCTTATCATATTGTTTTTTGGTGCTCAAAGTGATATATGTTGTGATACAAGAGAAATGTGAAGATTATATACTGGTTTTTTGGGTGAGACCCACCTTTTCTTGAATCGTGTGCCTAATTAATATGTTGTCTTCTTCTTTATATTTGTTTATATTGCTGTGAAAGCCTCCATCTCTCTCTTTCTCTCTCTATATCTTTCTTGTCCACGGAAATGTTTTCCCCGCCCCCCCCCCCCCCATTCAAAAATTTTTTGATAACGATGCACTGAATAAAAGAATATTCTTATCTACACTTTAGTTTCTCTTATTCACGTCGGTTTATACCGTGATATCATTCAGCTTGGTTCTGTATGTATTCATCCGTTGTGTAATTTTAGACTTATCAGAGATGTTTGAGAATATCAGATCATTTGTGAGCCGAAAACGTCCCGCACGGGATGCTCTGGTTGTCTTAGATCTTTCTCAGAAAGAAAACCATTTCGTTCCACCGCGTAAGATAAAATATACCGACGTTACATGAGAGTTAATTCGTATAGAGAAGAAGGAAAGACCAGTTCAGAAAGTCTGCTTGAAATGTTTAGCTGGGGAAGGAGGGCATATCACCCACATCCTGAGTGAAGTCCCAAAGGTGAGTTAGCAACTTTTTCATTGTTTATCTCTGTTCTGCGACTTCAGTAATCAAAACCGTTCCACTACAAATGTGTATATTCTGTGAGAAACTGTATATTTTCGTCTCTGTTTTGTGAATGATTCCCAGTATTTTTTAAGTATTTTTAATATATTTTGCTTCAGTAGCTCTTACTATTTCGGTGTTCCCACATCACCGTGTGTTCTTATCACGGATAATGTTGCATTTGTTGTTTTAAAGTAATTTCGAATTTTCGCCGCAGATGTCATTCATTAGTTTTTCGTTGTTATGTTTCAGAAACATAATAAAAATGTTTTGGATTCTGAATTTAATTATTGTTTTATACTTGTTCTAAAGTATATTTTGTATAAATAAATTTTTTATTCGTTCTCCCATCAGTTCAATACATATCCAAGTTATGAGAAAAACTGCTATACGAAATTGGCCTTGCTAGAATTTCCGTTTCAATAATCATATATTATTTCATATCTTACTTCCTGATTATCTCCAATGTATACGTTGATTAGTATGCTAATTTCTGTCCACGTCAAGACGTGACGCGATAACTCACTCATTCTCTCGAATGTCTTACGCATAACCGGTTGCATTCCGTTGTTCGCTGCTGAATGGCCAGAGTATGAATGCCTTTCATTGAACTTCATATTTTCAAGTTGTAGTAGTCTGTTCCGGAGGATGTAATAGGAAATCCCATTATTTGTGGAAAAATTCATTTGCTCTCGAAAAAACAGCTTTTCTCAGCTTTCTGAAGAAACAACGAGCTTTGCTGTTGCATTTTTATTGTTATTCTGTTCGAAAAGGTTTTAAAATGAGTGTTTCATCGAAGATTTAATTCAAATCGAGCAGATTGAAAGATTTGCTCGACTATTTATTGGTCAATCGTTTTCGAAAAATAGGGAATGAAAGAACAGAGGGGAAATTATTCGGAACTGAACCAATGGGATTTGGCTAATCAAGCAGATAGGGTTTGAAATTGAAGCATCGAAACAACTAAACAGTACAGTTTCGAAATAGTAGTCTTCTACACTTCTCCATTGGCAACTATTACACAAGCTACCATAATAAATCAAACCTTATCATTATCGATTGAACGACCTAAATAAGGTAAACGTAATAATTATAATCGATTAGCAAAATTTTTATTAAACTTTGAAGGAAACAACAACAAAAAACGTTTTCGAATGTGTGCGTAATGTGTTGAGAATAACATATAATAACAAAGTAACAAAGTAACAAATATTTGGACAAAATTACTCATTTCCTGGCTTTCTTCCAGCCTGCCTCATCAAGTAGTTCTTTAGACTCTTCTGCTGATCACGGAAAGATCTTTGGCGATTCTTACCACGGACTTTATTCTTAACCATATCGAACACTTTGTTCTTAGCCAATTGGCGATTGTTTCTACCAACATGAGGACCCTGAACAACATATCTTTCACTTTCGAATAAGAAAAGGTAGATCTCACATTCTTTTTGACCTTTCTATAATCATTCTCATTGTTTTCACATTGAGCTTGACGTTCTTCCTTAGTTTGCTTCTTCTTCTTGTGGAAATGCTCGATGTCCTTTAATCTAGGTAGCCCATCAGCATTCTTCCTGGAAAAGATAATAATTAACTTGCTCATGAGTGGGATATTTCTGTACTGATTTAGTTTTTCAGTCATTTCTTCGATCAACTGTAGATCATCACTCTTAGCTCCTTTTCCTAACTGCTTCTTAAGCCTCTTTTCACCAACCAACTGTTTTTTCATTTGGTATTGTCTTATTCTTCTGAACTCGTCCTGGAAATTAAGCATACGATAAAAACGCCGCTTTCACTCATGATAACCTGTGTCAGAATTCTGTCAGTACTGATTTTGGAGGCTTTCCTGAGGGTTTCTTTTTTCTCGCGTGCCTTATCAATCTTTGTTAACTTCTAGAAGAAAAACAATAACAGTTTCCGTGTTACAAAGCAGTACTACCTTCTTCTTCTCACTTAGTTTGGCACTAACAGTACGAACGGCTGGGCTTGTATTTTTCTCTTCGACGTCTTTCTGTTCTTCTTCTTCTTCATCCTCTTCTTCTTCATCATCAGCATCGTCATCCTCATCATCTTCATCTATTTCTATTCCGTCTTCTTGTCCTTCTACATCTTCATCTTCATCTTCTCCATCATCGGTCTCCCATTCGCCTTCGTCGCCATCCTCATCATCAACATCTTCCCAACCATCTTCAGAGTCAGCTTCAGCATCATCGGCTTTCGAGTCCTGAAAAAACTGACTGATATAAAAATGATTAAAAATTACATACTTTTCGGAGTTTCTTCAAAGGAGGACCATCATCACCATCAGTGTCCACGTCATCTGTGTCAACATCTGAAAATATCATTGAGTTTCACCTTGAGCATTAAACAATACCAGAAACATCAATATCACTGTCCATAGTTTCATCAACTTCCATTTCTCCAGTTTCCTCGCGTTCTTCTTCTAATACTTCAGCACCAGAAATGAAATCGGCAACAATAGGTCTGGCATATCCCGAGAATCTGAAATTTTGAACGGTTTGATCAAGCATGGGATGAAACTGTTTACTCCAAGTCTTCATCATCCTGTTGCATGTGACGGCCTCTGTTCTTTCTGGAGAGAAGCTTAGGATTTATATTACGGAAGAGAGTGATGATAGCACGAGCAGCCATAGAAACATTTTTGTTTTTATAAGTTTTGTACTGAAAATAAAATAAATTCTAACAAGTGACTATGTTTATGATTACCTCAGCCAAATCATTCAACAACTCTTCAGTTGCAGCAAATGGACAGTTTTGGAAAATCTCTCTAATAGCATTGATACCTACAGTCATAGCTTCTGGAGAATTTCTAAAATTTTAAATGAAAACAGAATTTTTAATAAATGATACTTGTCAGTTACGAAATTGTTGGCTATAACTCGAACAAGCTGTTCAACAGTATCGGGAGGAACAAGCTCATGACAAGCCTGGGCGGCGTATAAAAGAATTCTTGTAACCTGAAAATTAATATAAAATGAAAATTAAAAGAAAAAAACAAACATCTCGTTGTTTAGGATAAAGATATCTGTGTAAGTAAGAATAGAAACCTAGGGTAACTAATCGGTGAACACCAATAATTCTCGCGCATAAAGCAACACGGAAAAGCCGAACCTAAGAAATAAAAAATAAAAAATGTCTTCGTCGAAAAGAACAAACTTCAAATTTATCTACTTTCTTTCCTTCCAAGCTGGAGAAAAGTTTATCAACGAACTCCTGAGGATCAAACAAGCACTGAATGGCATAAAGATTGCACTCCCGACTACGACCCTCTGAATATATAGAAGTATGATGCCATTGTCTTGCCAAAATACCTTTTTTGGCTTTTGCCTTCTTGGATATAGCTTTCTTGGCCTTCTCCAGATCATTCTCTCTCTTTCTTGTTTTCTTACCATGACGGAAAGCTGTCATAACCTAAATGATTCGCTTAGTAACAGAAACACATCTTGGAGTAACTTCTTTTAAAGTTTTGCTATCTTCCTGTTTTTCTTCTTCGTCATCACTTTCATCACTGTCTCCATCTTCATCTTTCTTAGATCCGAGGAAAAATTTCATAGCTGTAACCTGAAAAGTACTGAGTGATGGCATTCTTCAATAGAAAGTTTACTTGAATCTTAGGAATTTTATGAAAGCAAGCTTGAGCAATCACATTCGCTGTGTTTCCTTCTCTCCAATAATTCTTACGGAAAGCGTCGATGGCAATTAACTGAGCGGCACGAGCCACAATAGCACGAGAATCCTGAACGTCAAGAGTGAAAACATCAAAACTCAGAAAACAGACCTTCATCTTTGCAAATACAAAGGCTTTAATTTTAGATAGAAGCTTTGCATCTTTCTTGACATTATACAAACGTTTCAAGTGAGCAGAAATGGCTCCCAATATGAATTTTCTAAACAAGCAAGTGAGACATGAATTGAAAAGCGATTCACCTGAGATGTTTATCTTCAACTTTGACAAGCTCGAAAAATACATTCATAAGCTCCATGGCGTCCATCAAATTCTGATTCCTCAGCATAACAAGTGCTTTACAGAAAGCCATTCTTACCTATGACAATTTATAAAGTTATCAATTATGAATGAATTAAACATACGACGGGGTCGAGTCCAGCACCTTGTTCACTGAGAATTGATATTAAATTACTAGAAAACTCTTTTGAATCCTCTTAAAGTTCTAGGCATATTAAACAACAATTCAAGTCAACAAACTTGGATAGTATTTGGCAAGACCAGATAGGAAAGTAACACTTTCGAGGAGTGGCTGAAGCTCCAGACGATGCTGTTGAGGTTGAAGATGAAGCAATTTCATGGTATGTAGATAATGATCGAACTGCTCACGGAATTCCTGAAAAAATCTCCATTTAACGACGATAGTTCGACTTCTGATTACTTCTTCATAAGACTCTGGATCTTTTCTAATGATTTCCATCATAAGTCCGAGATTTCTCTCGGACATTGTGAAGCGACTAGGTCGCAAGTTGGAAGGAGGGCCAACCATTGCGGAGGCGGCCATTATTACCTGTAGAATACTAATTGTAAGTTATGAGAAACAAGAAAAAAAAACATGAAGGAAGACACAAAGTAAGAAAACAGTATAAATGCCAAAAAGAAATTGCACGTAACTTTCACGTAAATTTATTTTTTGGGCGTTTGATGAATATATTCGTTGTACGCAATCGCGTATACTTGTTTCCGACGGCACGTCTCGAAGCTTGCAATTTTTACATACATACTTTTTTGTTATATTTCTACGAACATTCAAGTTTTTCTCTTCTTCTTTCAGAATCATGTCTGAAACTGCTCAAGCAAAGCGACCTGCAGCAAGTAAGGCTGTTAAAAGATCAAAGAAGTACTGGAGGAAAGGAACGAACGTACAAGAGTTTGAAGAATTTTTACGTAAGCATAATTGTTCACTCTCGTTCTCAATAAAAATTGTCCAGAAGACAATGCTACTCAGAAGAAGCATGTAGGAGTTGTAAATGAGTTACCTGACGCAGATTTGTTTGTCGTTGATCGTGTTCCTATGGATCCACCCCAAAAGTTCACTAGAAGACAGCAGGCATCATTGGACAAAATATCACAAAGCCTAAAGTAGAGCAGTTTCATTATCTGCTTATAAATGATTTGTTTTTCAGCACAATTGAAACTCCAACTTTCCCTGAGCCGAAAGCACCTTCACGAAAATCCCTACGTAAGAAAAAAGTGGAAATATCTTCCGCTATTCCTGTCAAGAAATCAAAAAATGTAAAAGACTTTGATGTATGGGAGAAGGGTATGCACTAAGTTATTCTCAACCCTTACTTGGTTTTTGTTCCAGATTTCAATCCCAAATTAACATTGGAACACAAAGAAGCTGAACTTCATTACTTGAAATACACCAAAAAAACATTACCAAACGCCACTGTTTCCGTGACTAAGAAAACGTCTCTTCTTAGAGCTGTTACTCTTCCTGACGCTGGAGCTTCATACAATCCTACAGCTGAAGATTACGCGGTTTGAATCATTGAAGTGATTAATCTGACCTTGATTTACAGAATTACGTAGGCGCTATCGCCAAAGAAGAAAGCAAGTTGATTCAAAGCGAGGAACATGTAGAGAGAAGCCTTCATCCACCTGGTCAGGTTATGGTTACCTCGGTATGTTTTCCTACCGCACTATTCTTCAATATCTATTATTTTTTAAGAAAGAGCAAGAGCTCGAAATGTGCCAAGGGTTATTCTTGCATCCTGATTATAATTCGGAAGACGAAAAGGAAACAGTTGAACTTAAGGAATCAGAAGGTAGGATATACATTTTTTCCTTATCTTACTCGTCTATTCAGATAAAGTAATAGTCTCTGAAACAAAAGCCAAAACTAAAAAACAACGTAAAACCGCTGAGAGAGTTAAGAAAGAAGAAAGACACCGCTTGAGAGAAAAGGCGAAGGTACAAGCAGAGCATGATGTATTCAAGTAAGAACGCTCCAACAAAATTTCCTTCATGAATGGTTTTCAGAGCCAAGAAGTACATGAAAGAGATCAGCAAAAAGGAAACTGAGATAGCTAAAAAATCATTTGAAAAGAAGCGTGATAAGTTCATGAAGAAGGTATGAGAAGTCATCTCTTCCGTCATAAAGTGTATCGTTTAGTATACTGAAAGACAAATGGTAGGAAGAGGAAAGTTCGAAGAAGAAGATACACCATTTTTATTACAAGTCAGTTATTAAGTCGGGAATCGAATTTATAATTTTTCTTTCTAGGAAGAATTGCCGCAATCTTTGAGACAATTGAAGCCTCAAGGTAGTGTATTAACTGATAGAGTGAAGAGTTTGCAGAGAAGAAATATGCTTCCTATCGGAGAGAAACGTAATGTTCGTAAATTGAAGGCGAAGCTGAAGGTAAGCTAAAGTTTAGCAATGGCATACATTTTTTCTGTTCAGGTCAAGAGAGTTGAAGGACGTGAGGCAAAAGAAATTGTTAGAGGAACCAAATTGGTTCATACCTAATATGCTGTTATTGTTAAGAACTGAATTAATTTTTTTGTTAAACTGTTTGAAGCAGATCATGTTTGTTGTTGAACCTGCTTTTTGTTGTTCTATGAGTGTTATTCTTATATAGTCAAAAATTGCATAAAATTTTTTTGAAAAAGCTTTGCTGATATTCGATGATGAAATCTGCAAGCATTATATGGTACACTGGAACTGTTGCAATTAGAACAGTGCGACGACAATGATGCTGTTTTGAAAATTAGAACTGTATGCAACCGCTACCCGTACGCATTACGCTGAAAATGAAACTACTGTCACGTTTTCATTTTTTCACATATTGCTTGTTTCCATCCGTTAATTTCTAATAAGAATTGTTTGAACATTTTTTATTTTATCCACTGTGTCCCATGTAGCTCTGCGACTGATGTGCCTTATCACTAATTCTTTTTTTTTCAACGTATCTTGCACAAGTCGAATCGAGGTTGTATGGAATTCCGATAGTTATCACAACGACTATGGGTGGTATATTAGATAAAAATTATAAAAGTTCAAAAAAATTGTATAAAAGAGCTGATAAGAGTTTTTCAATGTCAGCTGGCAGTTAGGAGAAAAGTAGAAGAATGAGAGGTTAGTTTGAAATCAATCTCAAAGTATTCAAATTCTCTGTTCAGCAGTTTTAATTTGTTCAAGCATCTTGCTTGCACTCACTCAAGCGGATAAAATAGTTTTTGACACTGGATTGCCATCTCTCAACGATACAAGAGCAAAGGTCGTGTTTGCCGGTATGCATGGAAGCACCAGTCATGTTATTACTATGATGCCTTTAGCGACAAGGTAATATCTCTTACATTCATGACTACAACGATACGAGTTTAGAATAAATAAAGATAACCACTATGTGCATTTTTTGCAAAGTGATAGTGTCCCCAAACCATTCAACTATCCTGAACCAATCGCATATACGTATGTCAAATTCAATGGTAGGGAAAACTCTTTTTGTATTATGTTTCTGTTCCTCTCTTATAGATGATCCTGAATTTTATAAAAGAGTTTTTTCAAAAATCTGGAAAGTAGAATATGGTCCGAATGATTTCGTTTACATGTGGAGATCCAGTAATGAAGCTCTTCGTGGTATGCTACAATTACATCCCGAAAAAGTTTTCATTTATCAATATGAGGAGTCAAATTCGAATTGTTCAGGTCGATAAGTTCTTCAACTCTTCATGGGATTTTGTAGTTGCTGATGAGTTGTTCGCCATCCCAGCTTATGGAATAGCTCTCAAACAAAAAAATAAGGGTGTTCATTATGGTATAATGGGAACTTGCGCCACTATGCATTTGTTCCGTACCCATTTATCGTATGGATCAAATTGGATACATCGGCCATCCTTCTATACTCCAATTCAACGACGTTTTGACATGAACGTTTTCTCCCATCGGCTGCATGCCTTTTTGCACGGTCTGTGGATAACTGTTGGAGTCACATTGGATACAAAGCTTACAGCAGCATCCGTACGTTTGAAAACCTAAACCTCTATCAAAAGTTTTGTTGATTGCAGAACTTGCCACTAATTGGCGTGCACAGCAACAGTGTTGTTCAAGAGTTTGTATCAAAATCTTCATACATCTTTGTTGATGCTCTTAACTCATTAGTTTGGCCACATCCAAGTATTGCTCTATCCAACCTTTTATTTTGTTAAATCATATGTTTTAGTTGGAAACGACGCGATTCATGTATCTTACGACTGTCCAAGAACTAAATGCTTGGATGAGGAGTATCGAAGTTTTATGGAGGATCCTAAGTCCAAAGGAACTATCATGATAGCTTTCGGATCTAATGTGCGATGGGAATATGCTACACCTCATGTCTTTGAGGCTTTCAAAGAAGGGATCAATCGTCTTTCAGACTATCGGTAATACTATGATGAATAGAAAACAATCTTTATCGTTTACAGAATAGTTTTCTCATTCAACGGTAAGATGGAACAAGTTAGAGGTATTGGATCTCATTGCAAAATTACTAGATGGGCACCTCAGAAAGAAATCTTGTCGCATAACAGCACGAGAGTGTTTCTTAGTCATGGTGGCATGAAGAGGTATTGTTTCTCTGAAATATATTCAGATTAAAGGAAAAAACCAATTCAGCGTCAAAGATGCAGTATGTGCAGAAGTACCAGTAGTGTTCATGCCAGTTTTTGCCGAACAAGCGCATAATTCTGAAATGATTCGAACTGCAGGTTTCGCTAAAGTTTTGGACAAACACACATTGACAGCCGACGACTTCGTCCATTCCTTACTTTCCGTAATGCGTATGTTTGGAAATTGTTTTCTTGTTGTTACTCTTATATTTATATACAGATAATCCTGAGTACAAGAAACAGGCAGTTCGTTTCAAGAGCGTCATGGTTGATCAACCTATTTCAAGCTTAGATTTAACTGCTTTCGCTGCTGGCAGAGCTATTCGTCAAAAGGGAAAAGAAATTATGTTCCGCCGGAAAGGAATTGATTTGTCCATGGAAACGTATTGTTACTTTGATTTAATTTCTGTAATTATTGGCGTCTTTGTTATAAGCATGTCTTAAACACTTTCTTGGAACCTTTCAACTCGTACTTCGATGATAACTCTTTCACGGACAAACGACTAAAAAAACTCAAAATTTGATATGACCAAGATAGCTATCAAACTACTAAATGGAAGATAAGACTCAGAAAAAGCAAATGTGATAAGTAGTCTTAGAGAGATACAGCAATACCTCATACGCTGTTAATCTTCAAAACTGAACTATTTCCTTGTTGAACTATTGGAAGTATACATTTAATGAGCGGTATCCTCATTTGGAAACAAATTGCATTAACTGTTCAAAGACTCCTCTAGATGAAATCTCAGATCATTTCATCGTAGAGTATAGCTGACTGTTTCCATTATGGACGACTCAAGACAACAACGACGCTGTTTCGAGAATGAGAACTGAATGCAACCGCTCTAAGCAACCACCACACTGGAAATGAAATTCTACTATCACGCGACCCGCTCATTTGCATATTCATTCTCCACTATTGTAAAAACACTTGAAACATTGGAACATCAAATCAATACTGGAGCCGAACGATTCGAGTAAATGCAGAGATCTCTCGTCCACAACTTCGTAGAATAGGTTCCTACATCCTTTCTGGACACTACCTGAGGTAATGTTTATTCACAATAAGGAAAGCTACTGAAAGATGTAAACCAATAATCCCAAAAAATAAAAGAGAACAAACTACATTCGAGTCTACTACTGAGAAATAATCTTTCGCAAACAAAATGCCTGAACAATGAGCAAAATTGATGTTTCGTTGGTACTTCTTGTTGCATACTTCGTAGGGTTGGATCCCTCCTATACGTTACATCTGCTGTAGTTGTAGTTCTGTCTGTCGTTTCCCCGTGAAGCAAGTAATTTTTTGTTGACTAAAAAAACTTATTTTTTTCTTTTAAACATTTATTTATATCAGATGATTTTGAACTGTTTATCATGCGGAAAAGAACTTTTTGTTGAACAACTGTGTTTTCTGAAGTGTTAGAAAAAAAATTCCTTTGGGGGGCTGAAAACGAAGTACTTGAACTTCAATCTTTGAAATATCACAAAGAAGTTTATTATACTAACAACTTTCGATATATCAGATTGTTATTCAGTAATTAAGAAAGAGAGAGAGAGACAAGAGGAAGGGGATTCTTAGAGAACGGTAGGTATGTTAATATGGCGGGAGATTCACTCATTAAGTCAAAATTTGTTTTCGCCCAAACAAACTTCCGTGTGATGTATAATTGAAGAAATTGAATGTAAGGAACTTAGCCATTCATAGGCTTTTCAGTTTTGTCAATCATTACCTTTAAAGGAATTACATTTTACCGGAAGTGTTCATTTGCTTACAAATGACGTTTTCCTCTCTAATTCTTGGGCGAATTTTTTTTAGAAACTTCTTAGCTTCCATAATTCCATATACTCCTTTAGTACATTTCGAGACTTCAAATGATTGCTTAATTACCGAATAAAAACAAAACTCTAGTTTTGTCTTTACTTTCACAACTGATTTCTCACTGATTTCCGAAAGCCTCTAAATGAGATTTTCAGGCATTTTTTTCCGCGAAAATTCACACGCAAAGTGCCTTAATACACACATTCGATTTGTCACTAAATGTTTGTTTCATATATCAGAACTCAAAAATAGAAAATTCGTTGGTAATTGTGTTGGCTCTTAAATCTTAAAAATACACCTTTTCTGCTCATAAAGGGCGGATATGGGGATGTCTTGAAACATACCTGATCCTCACGTTTCTAATTGCATCAACTTCCTTTTTTCGGAAGTGCTGTTTTCAATCTGTTCTGTTGCTGCAGACTTCTTCATTATATTCTTGTATCAGCCTGTTCTGCACTTTGTGAACTTCTCTTTCTTTTTTTTCCAAAACACTAAGGTTTCAGATAATTTTTATGCATCGAGCCTTACAGGCAGGCATTCAGCATAATAGTTCCGCCAGTCTTCCGATCTCTTAGTGGATTTTGATCCCAACATCGTTCTTCTAAGCATTAAAAATTATTCGTGTCTCTCTCTCTGTGTCTTTTTCTTTTTTTCTCTTCCTATTTTTCAATCTCCTTCCTCTTTCTCTCAGAACATTTAGCAAATAAGGCTGTCCATTGTGTATTTTTTCTCGCTCACTCATAATTTATTATAATTACAACTATACTTGAGAATGTATTTGAGCACATGGTCACGAAGTTGGGAGATTCCCTGTCATCTGTTTTCTGTTTCAATTTTTGACTTTTGAGAAGAAAAAAATAAGTTTCATTAAATATATATAAAAAGATGAAGGAACACAAAGACGCTTTCGATGAACAAAACTTCATCCCCAGCTAATCTTCGAGCTTGCAAGTCCTTACAAAGTAAAGTCTAAGCAAGTTTCTATCTCTGAGACATTATTTGAATTTTTAAGAAAGAATATTGTTCTTCCGCTTGCACGATTAACATTCGTTTTGCTCATTTTTCAAAAAAGCGTTCACTTCTGCTTTCTCTTTTCTCTTTAAATTTTCGTTTCGACATCTTCCAAATCTGACATCTTATTCTTCTCCTTTTCAGGCACAATTCGCAATAATCGACGCGTTAAACATTCCTCAGGGAAAACATTTGAGAGCAAAAATGTCTTTTCTTCTTTCTTCGGTCATTTTGGTTTTTTCTTCCTTCTTCCTAGAGCAATCAAATCATTTGTCATGAACATCACAGATTTATCATGCTGCGTACATGCACAGCATCAACTTAATCATCCACTTAAAACAAAAAGAAATATTCTCGTTTTTCTTCAAACACAACAAAACTTCCTTCAATCATATTTAATATTCTTTCGAATATTTTTTTTTGTTAAACATCCTGGCTCAATGTGACAGCTATAGAGAGAAGAAGAAAAACTCGCCTTTCAGGTTTTTTTCTTCTAACTTTAAATTTTTCATCATTTTTCATTTCTTGTTATATTATAAAAATATCTGTCTTTCTGCTGTTTCCTCATATGAGCCTCTCTCCCTATGGTATGCACGTTGTGCCCTCCTGATACTCAATTCGTCATATTCCTTACTGCTTGCAAGTACGATGTGTCTTTACATTTAATCAAACAACGCTATGATAAAGGAGATTCTAAGTTTTGAATTCTCTCTCTTCTGGCTACCATTTCTTCATCTCACACACTCTCTCTCACAATCATATTTTTTTTCCATTTTTCTTTTTCTTCGTTTTCGCCTGTTACATCCCTAACTCCAGCTTACTTCGCTTCTTCAAACTTTAGCTCAATTTGCATATGCTACACTAGCCAATAAGGAAAGTAGAACTAGATGATAAAGTCTTTTGAAATTTTTATTCTTTTACTCATTCTTTGTTTCATCCAGATATCCTTCGAAGGATATTCATTCTTGCAGATGTTTGCGCATTTTTTCATTAAATTCAACAAATAATTCTGAGCATGAATTTGAAATATATGAAGATGTCTTCATGATCATCGACATCACGTTTTCTTTGATGCTGTTCAAAAGTTTCGAGTTAAAAAGAATTTTTTGAAATCTGAGATGTAAGCTTAGGGTACAAACACAATAGTGATAGTAGTAGTAGGGGGGGGGCTGTTTGTTTTCGAACAAAAGTGTTTAAAGTTTGAAAAATATGAACCTATTTACTTGATAATCTCATATCTTCTTCTATCTTAATTTCTAATGGAGAAGAAGAAGAAGAAAGACGAAGAGAAAGAAGACGAAGGCAAAAACTTTTTTTTTTCTTCGCTTTCTTTTTTAAATTTCATTCATCATATTATGTCGGAACAAAACAAAGACGCTGAGAAACAAGTTCAAAGTTTCTTCTATCAGCTTTTCTCGTTCTTTTCTACTAACTTTAAACAAATAACATCATTAACGAATAAAAAATTATTTTGTCGTCAGTTTCGATGCATGACTTAGCTAATTAGCATAAAATCCAATTCCGTGACGCCACATCTCACGTAATCTCACGTGAGAATCAAACATGATAGCGTCAGTTTACAATTTTAGACGGTTAACTGTTCGGCTGTGCATCAAACTGTTATTATAATTTCAAAGTTTAAGTTGTATTTTTCGTTACTCCTCAAAAGTCTTAATATACTCATTATATTTCATTCATTTCGATTCAAATATGTCCCTGTGGCTCAGATTCATTTCTTGTTCTCTCTTTCATGCTTCTTTGTCAAATAGTTTCACAATTTTTGATTCAGATATTTCATATTTGAAAGAATTTGTTTTCTCTCTCTTTCTTTCTTTCGCAATCTCTCTCTCTCTCTCTCTCTCTCTCTCTCTCTCTCTCTTTCTCTCTCTCTCTCTCTCTCTCTCAACTTCCATGTCTTATCTTTGACTTCTTTACCAGCACACAAAAAAAGTCATTTTTTACATTCGTGAGATGAGAAAAAAAATTTTTTTCGTTTCCGTCCTAAGATTCGATAACTCAATGTATGCGATTAGAGTGTGTTTGGTGAGTTCTGCGTATCCGAAAGTTTTTTTCTTTTCCATCTCTCTTTGACACTTTCTCGTTCAGCTTTTCCTTCCCCTAACTCCATTCCATTCTTTATTCAAAACAATTTCTTAAGTTGTGTTATCTCAAAAGAACATCGAGTTATCATAGTTCGCGTTTAAATATTATAACACTACAAGTTCAATGTCCTTCGGCTTGCTCTAGTTGTTCTGATTAAAAGATAATATTTGGGACGAAACTGCAAATCCTACATGATTTCCTTACTTCTCAATCATTCAACAGTGTCAAATCTCAAGCACTGATCTGACAAGCATCTGTGATAGTTCATTGAGCAACAGCTTCAAGACAATTAGAATCAATCGTGAATGAGGGTAATAAACAACAAAGATTTGTTGGAAAAATTTCATCTGTTATCATTATAATATTAACTTCGAAAATTAAACTGCTAGCATTGTAAAGATGAAATGTACAATCCAGTTTATATGTTCGCAGTATTCGGTATGAGATTGGGATATTTCTGAATTGATTGTTTGACCCTAACCTATCACAACAGTCATGTTAATGATGATAA